ACGTGATCCAGGAGGGCCTGGAGAACACGGGCTGCACCCTCGTCTTCCTGCTGCTCTACTACTTCGGCATGGCCAGCTCGCTCTGGTGGGTGGTGCTGACCCTCACCTGGTTCCTGGCTGCAGGCAAGAAATGGGGCCACGAAGCCATCGAGGCCCATGGCAGCTACTTCCACATGGCGGCCTGGGGCCTGCCAGCTCTCAAGACCATTGTTATCCTGACGCTGCGCAAGGTGGCGGGGGATGAGCTGACCGGGCTCTGTTACGTGGCCAGTATGGACGCGGCGGCGCTCACGGGCTTCGTGCTGGTACCCCTGTCCTGTTACCTGGTGCTGGGCACGAGCTTCCTCCTGACCGGCTTCGTGGCCCTGTTCCACATCCGCAAGATCATGAAGACCGGGGGCACCAACACGGAGAAGCTAGAGAAGCTCATGGTCAAGATTGGGGTCTTCTCCATCCTTTACACCGTGCCTGCCACCTGCGTCATTGTGTGCTATGTCTACGAACGCCTCAACATGGACTTCTGGCGCCTGCGGGCCACAGAGCAGGCCTGCTTGGCGGCCCCCACGCCCGGCGGCCGGAGGGACTGCTCGCTGCAAGGGGGCTCGGTGCCCACCGTGGCTGTCTTTATGCTCAAAATCTTCATGTCGCTCGTGGTGGGCATCACCAGTGGCGTCTGGGTGTGGAGCTCCAAGACTTTCCAGACCTGGCAGAGCCTGTGCCACCGCAAGATGGCAGCTGGCCGGGCCCGGGCAAAGGCCTGCCGGGCCCCCGGGGGCTATGGCCGGGGCAGCCACGGCCACTATAAGGCCCCCACTGTGGTCTTGCACATGACTAAGACAGATCCTTCTCTGGAGAACCCTACACACCTCTAGGGACACAGGCCTGCGTGGGGCGGCTGTGGCCCCCTCCTCGCCACCCCCTCCGGAGGAGACAGCTGACTAGCAGCTGCCCAGCTGTCAAGGTCAGGCAAGTGAGTGCGAGGGGCCGAGGAGCAGGGCGGGGAGCCTCCTTCAACCCTCACTCGTCGGGACCCACTGAGGCTACTCCCCTGCTGCCTAGTGCAAGGGGGTGGGCCTGGCTGAGTCCCCACCGGGACCTGGGGGGGCACGTGGAGAGGAGGAGGGGCAGAAGGGGGTGTGGCCCAGCAGAGTTTATTTAATGATGTAATTTATTGTGGAGTTTCTCTGGAAGCTGTGACTGGAATAAACCCCCGTGTGGCAGCGCTGCGTCTTCTGTGGACTGGAAAGGGGGACGGTAGGATGGTGAGGGCCCTGGGGGAGCCTTCCCCTGTGAGCGGAGCTGGGAGTGGGCCTTCTGGCTTTCCATCAATCAGGAGAACATCCCACCGGGGAAACAGCTGTGTTTTGCAGGAACCCCGGATTCTGCAGTGGGCGTGTGCTCCCCTTGGCTCCGTTCAGTGGCCCGCTTGCCTGTCTGAGCCCTGGGTTCCTGCTTCCCAGAGTGAGACGGGGATGTCTGCTGGGAGCAGTCAGGGAATCCCCTGGGATGACACGCCCCACTCTGGCCCCAGTGAGTCTGGCCTGTTTGGGAGCTGTGGGTAAGAGTGCTTTCCTCGACTTGCATAAAAAATGAGGGCATCAGCCTTTCTCGAAGGCTTCCTCGGAGGCTCTGTGTCTGCTCCCACTGGCTGGCTAGCCCCTCCTGTTTCTTCCCCGCGCCTGAGGGCCGGGGCCGCAGACTGCCCTCACTGCCGCTAATGTGGCCGCTCACTCCTTGGGGCCCGTCAGGGCAGCTCCCCCACAACCCCCGTCCTTCTGGGTGGAGATGGGGCTGGACTCTTGGACATCTACGGGCATCTTAGGAGCAGACACGGGCACAGAGACAGCCCTCGAGTAGGGTGGGGATTGGGTCCCCAGCTCCTAAAGGGCTGCGGAAAGATTGGAGCTGCTGAGCACAGCAGTGAGAAACGAGGCAAGTGTGTGCGTGTGGCTCCCTCCACAAGTAGCTCCCACGATCACGAACCAGGAGAGGAAGAGGTGCTGCGCTGACCTACGTGCCGGGGCGGCCCTGGGGCTGCTGGGACCTGCGCCACCTCCGAGTGTGGCCATCCCAGAAACCCTGGTCCCATCTTAGGCTGGGCTGTGGCCGCTGTGACTCCAGCCGGGGGAGAGCCTTGGTTCCTGTCCCTGGTCCCTGCGGCACCGACAGGAAGCCCCGGGGTCCAGCCCACTGCCAGCCAAGGGGAGCCCAAGGCCAACTGCTTCATATAGTAGGATCAAGCCCCCAAACCCAGGGCCTCTCTGGCCAGAGCCCTTCCTGCGGCAACCACCAATCACAGGAACAAGACAGACATCAAGTAGAGCTCAAACAGATGGTGTCAGCTCCCTCAAGAGATGGAGAGAGGGCAGTCACTCCCCGCAAGGAACAGCACTGACCCCTAAGAGGATTTTGCAACCCTTACACTACGCTTCTTGCAGGTGGAATCCTCCTCACCCCCCTGCCCTTCCGTTCTCATAGAGCATGGACAGCTAAGTCCTCATGTCTGCTTTGACCAGCAAAGTCAAGTGACCCAAACGTTGCAACTTTTCCAGGGAGGGCCCATGACTGAGAAACAGAATGAGTTTATTGCAGATGAGGGGCCCAAGCTGGGAGCGAGGGGCCGTGGCTGCACTGGGTTGGGCTCACAGGCCTGCACTCGGGCGAGGGAAGAAGCCACAGGATGATTCTGGGAATGGGAGGAGAAAGGCAAGTGATGTGTATGGGCCAAGGGTGGAGGGCAGGGCAAGCATCAGGAGTGGCACCGGATCACCCAATCCCTTGCCAGTCAGTGGACAAGGCGGGTGGAGGGCACTTGGCTGTGTCCTGCTCAGTGGAAACAAGACTGACTTCCGGGACAGCTGGGACCGGAAGGAGAGGCAGTGTAACCAGGACGGACCCCAAGGGAGCTTTGCTTTGAGGCTAAGATGATTCACAGAGGCCAGGACCCAGGAAGGAGGGAGGGGAGGGCAGGCCTTGGCAGCTAGGGCTTCTCAGCCTGGGAGCTTGGGACGACACTAAGAAGTCCCAGACCCTGAAGGACAGAGACGAAGGAAACATTTGATTCAAGCCCTTTTACAGAAGCCCTCCATCTCATCCTCCCCTGTCCATTTTTCAGACAAGGGCAGTGCCTGAAGGCCTTGGCTGGCTCAGGAGCACACAGCCAGGGAGACTGGCCTCCAGAGCTGCTGTGACTTCACACCGTGGATCCCACCTGGCCGTGGGGTGAGATGGACACAGTGGGTGTAACAACCTAGGGCAAATTCATCCAGAGGAACCTGCCCCACAGTGGGACCTCTCCCCACCCCCAAGAGACGTGCCTCAGAAGCCATCACCCTCCGACCTGTGCACTGCGTGTCCCCGCCACTTCCCTCAGGGACCTGGCAGCCCCACACAGGGCCCCAGAGCAGCACGTCTGTGCGCGTGTCCACACCAGCCGAGCCTGAGCTCGTTCTTAACGGAACTTGTGAGCCCAGATGGCAGTCAGCAGAAGTTCCAGGGAAACAACGCGAAGTTGCCTGGAGTCAGCAGGGGGAATCTTGACCGAGGTCAGACTGAGAGGCCCTGGGGGTCAGCAGCTGCCTCACTCCCTGCTCAGGCCCTCGGGAGGAGGACGCGCCCAACAGTACTGGTGTGAAAAGGCTTGGGTGTCCTGGGCAGGGGGAGCAACGAGTGACCTCCTACCAGGTTTGAGCGTCGGCCTCGGTGTCCTGCTGAGGGGGCCCTGGCTCTCAGGGTGGTGGGGGCCTGAAGCACTGCCCGCAGTAGCTGCTTTGGAATCCAGTCACCAACTCGCTGCCACCTGACTGCCCCCTGCCCTGGGGACAGGATTTGAGGAGAAAGACAAGTAGGCAAGACGAGGGAGAGGTCTCCCTTGATCTCCAGAGTAATGGCCAGACCCCTGTCTTCAGGAAAAAAGTCATCTTGTCTCCATTTGCAGTAGTCAAGCCAAGTCAGGCTTGATTTCCCCCAAGGTCACAGCCTGCTAGGGCGGACGGGCTGGGCTGGTGGACTAGGATCAGGACACACACCCCGGATGAGGTGACGGGGCCCCAGAGGTGCTGTCCTCGTGTGGCCTAAGAAACCACCCCAGGAACAGGACTTCACAGATGCGGGTGAGCTGGGGCTGCAGGGACCGCTCACAGGTAGCACAGCTCCTGCAGAGCCTGAGGGCTGCTCAAATCCAGCCTGACCTTGGGGCAAACCACTTCCTCCCTGTGGAACCGAGAATCCCCCAGTGCTCAGGCCTGGCTCACTGCCCACGCTCACCAAGGCCACAGAGGCAGTCAACAGCAGAACCCACACCCAGCGCTTAGGTTCCTCCTCGGATTTCGTCCTGTTTTTACCTTCTGCTGTCCCCGGCGCAGCTGGTCAGGAACTGGTGGTTTCGCTGCTCTGTCACTGGGATCACGCCCTACAAAACCCTGGGATTCCACAGGCAGGTTGCCAGCCAGCAGTGACCTACTCCAGTCAACCAGTCTGACTACAGCAAGGCTCCCAGCATAAAATATAAATAAAGGCATCAGTAAAACAAGACTGGCTACACAGTGGAACTGCTGAAGCTGAGTAGGTGGGAATTTGTTGTAGTTCGCTGTGCATGTTTCAAGTTTTCCTTGAAAACTGTTGTAAAATATCCAAAGCTTCCCCAAAATTAAGTCCTGAAGGACCACAAATTCCCACAGTGAAGCCTTAAAAACATTATTTTCTTCCAATTCCCAGAAGTTTCCAATAGGACTGGGCGGGTGGGTGGGTGGGCTAGGGGTTTGAAATAAGAGACCAGGCCAGGAGAGGCCTGAAGGCCATGGCTGCGATTGCCCAGGGCAGCAGAAGGCTGTGCTGGAAGCAAAGAAATGCAGTAGATGGATCTGACCTGTGGTCAAAAAGCCTGTAAGCCAGAGGTCCTCTCCTGAAAAACGGCCTCCAAGAGTCGGGAAAACGCGCTCAGGACATGCTATCCACTGAGACCTCCAAGAGCACAAAGAAAAATTCACCAGAGTTGTCACTTCTTTATAAACACAAGTACATAATGTTTATTTGAAAGCCCAATTTATTACAAGTTTACCCTTTAATGGGGCCCTTCCTCCTTAAAGACACTTTAAAAAACAACAAGTAACTGAGGTGTCACTGAAGTGGGAACACAGAATTCTCACTGTGAACAAACAGACTGGCTCTAGGGCGAGAGGCAGGAAGGTGCTGGCGCGGGGCTGTGATGCTGCAACGTCAGTGCTGCCTCCCAGCCCGGGGGAGCCCAACCGGCAGCCCTTGGGGCAAACCCCGAGGTGGCCCAGGCAAGGGGACCACACCTGGACGTTTCACTTTAACAGGCTTTAGTTCCGCGAGCTGCAGTCCCCTTGGTGGACTTCTTTTCCCTTCATTTGAATCGGTCCCGAAGCGCTTAGGTGCTCACGTTTTCCAAATTCAAAGTTGACAGAAAAGAAAATTAAACCCTGTTCTGCGTTTTTTATCAAAATCTGCCATAAAAGGGAAAGAAGACTACAAAGGTGGCCTGAACCTGACGACTAGCGCGAGATTCACTGTGGGAAGGGCCACAGAGCCCCCACTGCCCTCCGCCCCCAAGCCCGACATGGCGCTGAGATTCGGGTTCTCAGGTCGAACCCTGAGGCCAGAGGAGCGTGGCACGGGCGCTGCACACGGAGGCGGCGGAAGCGGCTGCCAGGGCGGCAGAGGGACTGTCCACGAGCAGGTGGTCCCCACCGCCGGCCCCGACGAGCCCCAGCCCACCTGCTCTAGAGGAGAGAGGACAGGCTGAGGGAAGAGACCGGGCAAAGGAAAGCAAACACGTTATCATAGAAACCGTACTGTACATGTGCCAAAGCGAGATGACAGAGATCTTTTTACAAGATGTTCTTTATACAATATCACTGCTAAAACAAGCAACCTTTAATAACTAGAAAAGTCAATTTAAAAAAAATTAAACATTTAAATTCTTCCTGCTTTTCTTCTGCTCCCCTAAGAGCTTGTCTGGTGTGTGGGTGGGCTGGGCTCCAACACCCCTCTGCCAGACCCATCAAAGGAAAGGTTATACACATGGTTACAAGCAGGGCTCCAGGCTCTGAGTGAAGTGCCTTAGGTTTTGTTTCAGGGGGCCAGGGGCAGGGACAGAGCTGTCACAAAGAAGGGGAGGGGTACTCAGGAATGGCTGTAGGACATGTCCCTTTACTCTGCCAAGATCAACTCAACAGACCACAACTGTCTCATGATGCTGGTGAAAACAGAACTCTGTATGGCACTCACTGATACTGTCAGCTGAGAGGGCGGGAGAGCGGGACGGAGAGACACAGCTCGGGCTCGAAGAAACAGGACTGTGTATAAATATAGATTTAAAAAATCGAGACTACCTCCCCAGTTGGCCTGATTACCCTTCATCCTTCTACGTAACAGAGTAATCCCTCCCCTGGAGACCAGAGGGCTTGGCACTGCTGTGGCGGCCAAAGTGGGAGGGACCTTAGCAAAGAAGAAAGAAAAGGAACTGGGTTCACAAGAAAAGACTTGGACTCCTCCTGGAAACCCTCATGAAGGGGGATTAAGGCCACCTCTCCCCACAGCATTTCTGGACAAAGACCACCGACCCAGCAAGAGGCTCTCCAAAGTGCGCTGCTTGATTAAGGCCCACGGAGAGTTCTGGAGATGCGTGCGAGCTCGGGTGACAGGCATTCCCGGGCTCCCTGTGACCTCCTCCCGTCCACGTTCTTCTCCAGCTTCCTCTCTCTCCTCCCTCCCCCCTCCCTCGCTCTTTCCCTCGAGTCCCCCCCGACCTCAGCTCCCTTACCAGGGCCCTGCCTCTCTACTTCTTCTGTCTTCGTCCCCTGGACTGTCCAATGGGCTCTGGCTCACTGTCCCCCTCATCTTCAGCAAGCCGGTCGGGAAACTTCTTGCGTTTCCTACGGACATACGGGTGGCCAGGAAGGTGTTTATGCAACAGAGCCACCAGACACTGTTCCGTCTTCACCATGCAGCTCAGCACGTGGCTGCCCCGGCAGTTGTAAAGCTCAGCATTGGTAAACACTTGCTTCATGTCAGCAAGAAACTCCTGCACAGAGCGGTAGCCCCCACAGGAACATTTGCTCTGCATTGTCTGGAAGTCCATGGGGTGGGTAATGATGTCATAGTAGTCCTCAGCCTCATCTCTGGTCACGGGCTCCCTGGGAGAAGAACCAAGTGGAGAGGTCAGCGCAGCCTTGAACCAGACAGAAACCTGGTTATCAAACAATGGACATCATCACATGTCTCACCGGAATGCCGAGCCCAGCACACCAGCAGGAAGGCAGAGCGGGGGTATTCACTTGTGCTCAGAGTGGACTCCGCCAGTCTGGAAGCTCATTTCCCCGCCCGCCACTGAGATGTGTCCCAGGGGCTCAGCTGCAAGGCTGAGCCGCTCCCCTGAGCCCAAGCTCACCTGAAGGGCCAGCTGAAGCGGTATTTCACTATCTTGTGGAGGATCTCTTCACACTTCTGCAGTTCCAGGCTTTGCCTCCGGGAGCTCCGTTTGGTCTGAAGTACCTGGAGCCAAAGAAAGAAGACAAATTATTGCAGGGCTGAGAGCAGAGGAGACAGACAGAACGCACTTTAAAAAGTGTTTTTGTATCTGCTTAAAAAGCAAAGGGTCAAGTTTAGCTATCTTCTTGGAACAGAGAAGATGGTCAAGATCATCTGACTTCCATCCAGGGAGCGCTCTGAGCCAGCAGGCATCAGCCCACCTGCCTCCCCCCGGGTGGACAGTGATCAAAGCAAAGGACAGGCACCAGTGGCTGGGTCCCAGCAGTCCTGCCAGGGCCAGCGAGAGGGCCACTGTCCCCAGGAAGCTAGCCCTCTGAGAGCAGCTGGACCTGGGATTATGGTCACGCCGTGGATGAGTTTAAACAAGCAACTGCAGAATGCCAGGCAGGTTATGGGGACCACCTGAAGTCAATTTTGTGGGGGTGGGGCTGTGTGAGGGAAGAAAAGTAAGAGGCACAGTTCTTCTCCTGGGCTCTCCCCTGAAGAGTCGTTAGGGGCTGAAGAGGAAGGGGCAGGCCGCCTCCCCAGGTGGCAGAAGTAGGCCTGACTCCTAGCCAGGAGCACAGAGTTGAAGGGACTGGGGCCGGGCCTACAGGAAGGGTGCCCACGGTGCCTGCTGAGCATCCTGATGGCTTGCTTTAATGCCCCCAGCCCACCTCCAACTCCAATTTGATCTGTCAAGCTTTTTGTTCTTTAAAACTCAAGTGAAATCCAAAGCAAGACTGCTAAGATCACACTGGCTGAGGAGCAGAGGGGAGGGTGCGTCCCTCCCATGACAACTGTCGGCAAAAGCCCCGAGTGAGCGAGGCTCCAACATTGCTAACATTCCCACCACAGAGACCCAGCCCCGCTGAGCCCCGGAGACACATGGATACTATTTTAAAGTCCTTAACGAGTCGCAGGCTGCCCGTTAACTAGAGGAGATGTTTGCAGGCTGTAGCAGTGGAATGCCGGGCATAGCTGCTCCCGGGGGCCTGCTGCCCCGTCTGCCTACATGGCCATCCATCTGCCTCATCAGCCTCCAGAGTGGGGGGTGGTAGGGAGCAGAGGGGCGGCTCCACCTGTTGCCTGGTGAATTCCTGACGCTGGAGTGGGCGGTACAAATCTGAGATGCTAGAGCGCGGAGGAAAAGCAGAGCTAGAGAGCAGAGGAAAATTCTTACCAGCTCGTCCACCTCCATGTCGTCCGCAGGTGGAGCCTTCGGCCGAGCCCTCCTGGTGGGATGCGGCTTCTTGCCTGGCCGTCGGCCGGGCCGCGCTGTAGGGGGGATGACACCCTGCTTGCCCCGAACAGTCCTGCGTGGTCTCACTGAAACACATGCATTCAGAGAAGAACTGAGGATGAAGAGAGCATGCCCATGGAAGGGGTGATGCTCTGGATGAGCAGAGCGGTGACCTCCTCAGGGTTCGGGGGGGTGGTGCTCGTGCCATTGTCTCCTGCTCTCTGACCTCACAGGGCATGTCAAGGGCAGCGGCAGCAGATGATGGATGGATGGATACCTTTCATCAACTGCCCAAGACCTTTGAAGAGTCTATTTAGAAAGCCAGTTCCTTTGGTACATGCACCCTCTGTCCCCACCCCATCCATGGGGAAAGAGGGCTGGAAGGAGTCAATTGTAAACTGACTCACTCGGGAGACAAAGCCATTTGCTGATGGGTCTGCCTAGAATTCCTTCAGCCCAAGCTCAGCCTGAGAACGCATGTATTACATGAGAGATGGAATCTGAGTGTGGAACAGATCCTATTTCCTAATTCCCAGAGTTATCCTGTACTCACCACCACAGTCTGGTCAGAGAAAAGCTGATGCTTATGTGAAGTCTTCCTCACTGAATCCAATTTAAGGCTTTGATTTCTAAAAAGCACAGACAGTAGTAGGCCAGGCCACTTCCACCAGAGCCCTGTCCAGGACCCCCAGAGACAGAAGAGAAACTACAAAGGCACAAGACTGCCCATTTCTCCATTTACAACAGGCGCTCGATGTCGCGCGGCCAGCATCTCTCAGTATGTCCCCAAGAAACAAGGCCCCATCAGGGTTGGCTCAAGGCTGCTCCACTAAGCAAGCACTTCCCTGGACGATGGGGAGGGGCACTGGACCAGAGCTAGGGACACACAGAGGTGGGGATGCTGGGAACCAATAACCTATGTTTTATATTCTACTTCTAGACCAAGAGGACACTTCACCCATACTCTTAAATTTTTTAAGTTCTGAGACTAGGTGAAGAAGAGAGTAAGAAGCTAATGCCAAGGATGAAACGCAGGATACACGAACAGCCAGCAGCCCAGGGCCTTGAACTGCACCAGGGAACCACATCTTTGTGCCCTAAAAGGCAGAGCAGGCAAGAGGCTCTGAAGCACCAAAAGCTTCCTGGATCCTTTTAGGAGAAGAGGTCCTAGAAACCTAGAGAGGGAACAAGTCCTTGGAAAGAGCAGTAACTTCAAAGTGGAAAGAAATCATTACTTGGAAAATAAACAAAATCAGTACATGGTTACATCCAGAATCTGTTCACAGACAACAAAGTATCCAAATCATGACCTGGGCAGTCCTCGGCCTTCTCTGTAATGCAGGCTCACAGACCCCTAGTCTCCTTCCCTCTGATACCTGAAAAGTCATGCCTTGTGAGCAAACAAGAGGAGCCCTAGAGGAATGAGAGAAACGCAGATGTCCCAAACTAATCCCCTGCAGTGTCAGGGCAGACGGAGGTCAGGGGCACAAGCGCAGAGCCCTTGGGTTTCGGCAGCACTGATACAGTCAGGACTGGGTCTGGCACGCAAGCCCTTTCTCCCAGCGCCAAGTATGAGCGTGGGAACTGTTCCTCTCTTCAAAAGCTCATCAAAATCTTGTAGTTGTATTAGCTTACAAAGAAAGGTGTATTTTGCAGGAAAGTCTGCCTGTTAAAAAGCTAGACTGTAGACTTAGCGGTTTAAGCAATAAAAACGACCAACTCTCAAGGCTCCCTGAAGAACAGACGTGAGAGATGAGTCACCAAGGTGAGAGTAATGGTGGGCCCTTCCCCGCTGACGCCCAGCGAGAAGCAGCTGAGCCTCCTGACGACGATGCCCAGACCACACGGAAAGTATCCTCTTTTCAGACCAGCACATCTGCAGCCCTACATACTACCGGGAAGAGACAAATCACTGTAACCAGAGAAAAAATAGCTTCTCTCAAAGGACCACTGCACCAGAGGCCAGAAGAATGCAAGAGACAGCAGTGGGCCTGGACCCTCACTACTGCAGCCCCACACGGAGGGGCTCAGAACCAGCAGACCTATCGCAAACACACCTGGGGCCTGAACTCCACCAAATCATGGACCAAGTGGCTCGGCCACAATTTGATGCTCTGAGACCAAGCCACCCAACCTCCTACTAGGTAGTTAACTGGCATCTTGAAAACCCATTTAAAACATGGCAGCAGAGTCAGCCCACTGCCACAACATGGGAAAAGGCACGCTGGTGTTGCTGGGCATCTCTCGCCAACCCAGTCCTGCCAGGTCAGGTCAGAAGACAGTGAGGGTAACGACGAAAGCAAACCGAATACTCACGTCGCAAACCAGCCACCTCATAATCCTCCTCCTCCTCCTCCTCCTCCTCCTCTTCACTGCTCTCGTCATCTTCGCTGTCCTCAGAGGCAGACTCTTCAGTGTAATTCCTGTGGGAGAAAATACTTGTAGAGACCATGGATCCAGGCCAAAGTGGTCCAAAGACAGGTAAAGTCCCACATAAATCATGGCAACCTTTCCCTCTTCACGGACTAGACAGATTTCATGATAAGGGGAGGGAACCTGAATCGAGGCCAGGACACAGGAAGCAGAATGGAAACCTAAGCTTTAACCGCATGTCTCCTCTGCCAGGCCCCAAACACGGTGGCTGAAACACGATGGCAACAAAAAACCAAGACCCAAATGCAACCCCACCCCTGAACACACAAAACCTCTCCTTTTGTCTCACAGAAGAGCCAGATAATGTAACATTTCAGGTACAAAAGCTGTCCCCAGTGCTGGGGCGGACTGAAAGGATAAACAGCCCAGACAGGTGTTTCTCCACCTGGATGCCCCCTTCCAGGAGCTGAAACAGCTTGCCGATGACCGTAACATCAAAGCACTGGTAATCCCAGCTCAGAACAGCTGGTCCAAAGCCCCACCGATTCCAAGTGGCGGCCTCCCCTCTCTAAGTGTAGCTGGAATGGAGTGAGAAATAACCGAGTAATGCTGTAAGGCAGGGCTGGGATCAAACAGCTCTGTCCTTTCAAAGAGACCCCAAGCCAGAGTGCCTACACGCTGCTCTTTTACAACTTCAAATTTCAACGTGGAAAACAACAGCATTAACTTTGGCAAATATCAGGCGTCTCCTCTTTACAAGGCCCTGTGATCGGCCTCACTGGGTGAGGGTGAAGAACAAAGCGCCACCACTAATCTCAGGGCATGAACGATCTCACAGGAAGACAGCAAGCTGTGGAAAAACTGAACAAAAAGGCAAGATGCACCAGTATTCCACTTTATAGACATCAGAAGCCGAGTTGGAACACAGAGGAGGAATAATTAATCCTAAGGATGTAAGGATGCTTCCAGAAAGCAGTGAAACTTTAGGTAGGCGGCAGGCAGTTTAGCCAGGCAGTTCTGGGTCCAGGGAATATGCCTGCTGGGAAGAAAACACCAGAGGCAAGGATGCCCAATAAGCAGTCTGTAAGGAGCACACAAGATGGGAACAAGGGTTCATAAAATCATAAGCTAGTGCTGTGTAAGAAGAGTCTCAAAAGTTGCTCTATGGAGTCTGGACTTTATTCTAGAGGCAGTGGGAAGACCACAGTGTTTCAAGAGGATAGTGACGTAAGCAAATCTCTGTCTTTTGTAAAGCATTCTGGTATCACCACAAAGCTGGAAGGAGAAGAGGGGGAAGATATGAGGTCCGGAGGTGAGAAGCCAGTGGAGGAGGCCAGATGAGCGATTCAGGAGGGCCGTAGGACAGCAGGAGGCTAACTCGCAGACATCCTGACACTGAACTAGTGACATTCGGCAATACAGAGACAGGAGAGGAAGATGGCTAAGCTGAGGCCAAAATTCTAACCACGCTAAGGAAGGAAAAGAGGAGGTACAGGTAAGGAAGGAAATGAATTTCATGAGTTTTAGCAGCGGGCAGCTGCACAAGTCATCAGAAATTAAGAAGTGGGCAAAGTAGAAGTAAAAGACAGAGGGAGATATGTTATTTGAAACAAAGGGATGACCAAGAAAATATAAAACATAGCTGGTAATGAAAACTATAAATGTCAACAATGAGCTAAAATTAAATTGGAGCCCTTTGAGCACCACTCCCCCACCCACTATAATACCTTAAATAAGGGGGCTCTGCACACAAAAGATAAACTTAAAGCTCTCCAGCATCATTCAGTCTGAATAACGATGCTCAAGTACAACAGCTACTTATCAATTTATTTGTTTTTAAAAGAAGAAGAAATTCTCACCTGCCACGGGAGTTGCGCCTGGCAGTAGCAGGCTGGCAAGCTGGGCACTGCCACTCACCATCTGGTACTTCATAGAGGGCCGGCCTCAGACAGAACAGGTGGAAGGCTTTATTACACTCATCACATAAGATCAGCTTGTCATCTTCACCTGCAAGGAGATAAACATGTACAGCACGTTGGGAGCACAGCCACAGTCAGTGACTTGTAAGAAGGAGCTGCCAGCCTCAATCAACCCGACAGAAGAAAAAACTTTCTAGTGCAGTGCTACCCCATTTTGAAGAGCACAGTCATCTTCTGAAAAGAAATGCAGTATTAACTAAGCTACAGGTAATTTAGGGTTTGGGGCTTCTAACTTACGTCCCCAAATTGACTCAGGGCTAGAAGAGATGGTTAACATTCACTAGGAGGCAGCAAAAACTCAAGCACTGGCTGGAGATTTCACTGCCCCTCTCCCACTAAGAAGTGAACCCCTGACAAAGTATACCTCTCTGCCCTCCTTCCTCTGCCCTGACCAGACAAATGTGTCCCAATTGGCATCTATTATGGTTTGGTTTCCTTACATTTGAAAATACACCAAACCAATTTAAATAATCGTTTCCCCTCTCCAACCTTCAGTTTTTAGAGCAACTAAATGATTTGAGAGAGGTCTTTTCATCCTTGGAAAGTATACCCTCACCTGTGACACAGCAGCTTTAGGCGCTGAGGGGCTTTTAGAACACAGTGGGGCTCCTAGAAGCTCCAGCTCCCAACAGCCCCACACGCTCTGATCTGCAGGGCCCAACTCCCTTCTGCATGGCGCTCAGACACTGCCCTCCGCTGGCAGCGCCCACAGCACCACAGATGAATAAAATTCAGAGAGCTTAAGTCTGGGTTTCACTAGACCTGGGTTCAATCCCTGGGTCAGGAAGATCCCCTGGAGAAGGAAATGGCACCCCACTCCAGTACTCTTGCCTGGAAAATCCCACGAATGGAGGAGCCTGGTAGGCTACAGTCCATGGGGTCACAAAGAGTCGGACATGACTGAGCGACTTCACTTCACTCACCAATTTTGCTCCATAGAGAAAACTTAAAGCTTGGCAAGATCAACTGTTATTTTATACACAAAACTGAGGCACAAAGGGCCTGCTCTGATTTGTGGGCATGCAACTTTAAAGACCAGCATTTTATGAACTCTTGGAAGGTGAAATCTGTCCCCCCACATCTAAAACTGTGTGCACAGAACTCTTTAGTGGAGAAAAGAACTTGGAAATGGAAGCCCAAGTGCCTAATATACTCAGATAAGCCACTCTGACTTAAATATACCTTTCTTTCTGATTTAAAAATACCTTTCTTTCGACAAACTTTGCATCGAGCATTTTCAGCTGACATATCCCATTTGATACAGGCATCAAGCATCCCAAGTAGAACATGCATTCTGGAAAAAGTCTGAGCCTCGCGGATAGCTGTCTTCCACTTTTCCAGAGCAGATGCAACCTAAACAGAGACCAAAGCAGGCCAGCATTACTATGACTGCAAAGACACAGAATGTGGACCTTTCACATCATATTGACAGAGTATACACCAAGAGAGGAATAGCACTCTGTAAAGATACAAGAGAATCCTAAGTACACTCACCTTCTAGAGCCCCTCCGGTCTAACCCATTTATCTTATAGAAGAAACCAAGCCTTGAAGGGTGCAAAAAAGTTGCCAAAGGGCACACAAAGAATTTGGTGGTGGGGGGAGGCGGGTGACTAGAGCCAAGTCTCTTCTAGTGAGATCCACTTAAAGACTGTCATTTAAAAGCAAGAACACTATACTGTGTAAATAATGCTAGTATGCAGCAATGTCACGGAGCTAACAAAACTGTGGTCAACAAGAGTATCCGTTTCTGCACCAATATATGCCTCAATCCCAGATAACAGGGCCTAGAAATACTAGTAATATGAATCATTCTACAGTCCTTAAAAGTATGAAGCATAGACATATGACATTTCTCTTGACTTGATCACCAACTTCTAATTGAAGTGACAATTGTAAAGCGCTGGGGGTTGGCCTGATTTCATTCTGGGCAGTTACTCTCAGCATAAACCACACTGTCTCCTGCCATCATCAGAAAATGGAAATTAATTTAGAATTAGCAAAAGAGTTGGGATGGAGAAAAATACAATTAAGAATCTTCAACCCTCTCTATAAAACACACATTCTGAGGTGGAACAAAAACACCATTTTAGAGTAACAGTATTTGTATTGCTGTTTTATTAATTAAAAGGTGATTTTTCGTGGACCCTTTCAAAGCACTTAAAAAACCTAAATGATTAAATGGCACGATAGAGGGCATCATTCTCAACAGTCAAACACAAGAGCTGGACAAGGTGCTGCTTAGGCAGTCCACTAGGAGCCAAGAGCCTCGGGTATCTCACTGTCCACCTTGTGGAGGTCATCCTGCTCTCAGTCATGACTGAACTGAAGTCAGACGTGCCGGCTACTCTTACAGCCTGGCTAGCTCCAGCCGACTGACACCACCCCTGCTGGGTTTTACTGCCCTGTCCTAAGCAAAAAGGCCTATTTCAAGTAATAGTCTCCCTCCTGTAAGAAAGGCCACATGGCCTTTTCATGGAAGGCCACAGGCTTAAAACAGAGCAGCCGAGGGAAAAAGACAGCTGAGCGACTTCTGCAACCCTGGGGTACAGGTGGAGGGAGGGGGACAAAGGCGTCTTTTTCTTACAGAAACCGAGAGCCGTGTGTGTGTAAATTTATGAACAAGGGTAAGTAACATAAACACATCAAAACATCTATTTAAGAGGCTGCTCAAGTTCTAGTGAAAACTGACTCATTCCTTACTCCAACTTGCAGTGCAGATATTTCAACATCTGCCTCTGAAATACAATTTCCTTCCTTCCCTTTTCAGAGCGCCTCAGCAGGATGTAAGATATACAATCACAGCTGCCTTGCTGGTCTTCAACCCTAATGTAATGAGAGCTGACATGCGGTACCAGAGAGTCTCCTATTTAATCTTAAATCTTCTTCATTCAATTAAAACTTAAATTTTCTTCATTCAATGGAATATAAATTTAAGAATTTTAGGTTCAATTCCTAAAAGAGTGTTATTGAGAACAGCCAGGGAACAGCTAAAAAGGGCTTTGGTGTCCTCTAGTGGTCAGATGGACACAAGTTACCAACATTTAAAAAACATTTTCTTATAAACTATAAAATCTGAGCACCTAGCAGCACACGTGGCCTCATTAGAACAAACAAACCAAAACACTGAAAGAGACCTTCAAAATAAGCTTATTTAAACCTCATTTTAAAAACTGACTTGAGATATAATTTATATATTAACAAGTTCTCCCTATTAAACATACAGTCAATGGTTTTTCATATATTTGAAGAGGTTTACAACTATCAACATAATCTTAATTTTAGAACATTTTTATCACCCCAAAAAGACTTGCCACTTCCTATCCCTACCCTAACCCACAATTCCCTACCTTATCCCACCACTTCCTCAGCCCAAGGCAACCACAATCTTCCTCTGCTTTACAGATTTAACTATTCTGACATTTCACATAACATGTGGCCTTTTGTGACTGGCTTCTTTAATTGAGCATGTTTTCCAGCTTCATCCACATCCCAGCATGTAACAGTACTTCATTCCACTTAAATTGCTGAGTAACACATCCATGTTGTTTATCCATTCATCAGCTGGCAAACACTTGGATTGCTTCCGCTTTTTGATCATTCTGAGTAAGACTGCTATGAATGTTTGTGCCCATTTTGTATAAACGTTCATTTTTTATTTTTCATGAAAAGAAAGTTCGCCCAAGATCTCAGCAATCTGGGCCAGGTCTCCTGATTCCCAATCTGGCGCTGCTGGCATTTATATATTAGCTCCTGTTTTATCCACTGTGTTATTCATCCAGACCAGCCTTGCCTACAGTTTAATTCAGTTCAGCCTCTCAGTCATGTCTGACTCTTTGCGACCCCATGGACTGCAGCACGCCAGGCTTCCATGTCCATCACCAATTCCTGGAGCTTGCTCAAACCCATGCCCATTGAGTTTGTGATGCTATCCAACCATCTCATCCTCTGTCGTCCCCTTCGCCTCCTGCCTTCAATCTTTCCCAGCATCAGGGTCTTTTCCAATCAGTTCTTCGCATCAAGTGGCCAAAGTATTGGAGTCTCAGCTTCAGCATCAGTCCTTCCAATGAATATTCAGGACTGATTTCCTTAAGGATCGAGTGGTTTGATCTCCTTGCAGTCCAAGGAACTCTCAAGAGTCTTCTCCAACACCACAGTTCAAAAGCATCAATTCTTCGGCACTCAGTTTTCTTTACAGTCCAACTCTCACATCCATACACGACTACTAGAAAAACCATAGCTTTGACTAGACGGGCCTTTGTTGGCAACAAAGGCCTTGTCTCCAACCAGCCTCTAGTTTCAAGAACAAAAACAACCGGCACTCAACCTTTTAAAGAACATATTAGTCTCCTCCCATTGCACAAAATTCCAAACAGTCTAGAACATTTAAAAAAAAAGCCACCATATCCAAGACTTAAAAACAGATCAACAGCAGCTAGATAAAGTTTTTACAGTCAACACAGTGCCATCCAGTAAATACCCTGTCTTGCAGTACTGCTGGGAAGCCAGACACACTATTTTTTTCTTCCATTTATTTTTATTAGTTGGAGGCTAATTACAATATTGTAGTGGTGCCAGACACATTATTCTGATGAAAAAGTCAAAGTCTCCAACACATTTAAATCAAGTTGGGCCCTAGTTAGAAACAGCAGAAGTGTGTATAACAAAATTAAGGGGAAGTCAGCTTAACTAACAGTAAAAAGACAACATCATATTTTGACAAGAATATAATGAGGCGTCAGACCATATTCTTCCATGAAAGAATGTTTAAAATGGAAAAACAGATAACCAACTTGTCAAGACAAATGCATCCAAAGTAAACAGAGAGCCTAACAGAACCCAGGATTTTGCCCAATTATAAAACATCTTTCCCACTGAATGCAAGAAAATGAAATAAACATTAAATAATTGAAATAATTGACTACCACATGAAGGGATTTAAGAGATAATCTACTTTCACAAATAAGGAAACTGAAGCACAGATTAGAGACTGACATTAGCTCCGTGCAACAGCCTAGTGCCAGCTGAAAAACCCTGGCCCGTGCTAAGTGGAAACCTTCAAAGCAAAGGACAGTGGAAAATTTCAGAGCTGTGGCAAGGTTGACCTTCGGTGGGGAACTGCAGGGCATAATGCCATTTTAATGGAGAACATTGTTGAACTACTTAGTCGGCAACCTAATTGATTTTCCAAGAAACTCCTCCATGTTTTCCATTTGTGTGCTATGTGTCTGGGCCCCAAGGTTAAATCTGCAAAGTGCTCATATTTTCCTCCCCAGCCAAGCTAAGAATCGTCTCGTGCGACAAACTGAGAAGAGGCTACTTCACGATGGGGCTGAATACTAAAAAGGAACTTGATGAGAACGCCATATAGCTGCTGGTGCCCAGTGAGGAGAAAACAATATGAGTCAAGGAATGGCAAGCAAAGACCACATCGAGGAGACTGTTCTGAATAGAACTGGGTTAAAAACGAAACCCATGAAGCATTCAGCAAGGCTGAAAGTTACACCTAACGAGAAGAGATGCAGCAAAGGAGAGTACGAACTGTCTGATGTCTTATTTCACCTAGAGGTTACCTGAATGCTGTATTCCTGTAAGACAATGACACGTGTGTGAAAGCTGAGTCTATGTCATGAATTAATAGTTATATGTCATGAATTAATAGTTAAAGGTTTATCTAACTGAAACTTAGTTCTTGGCTCACCTCTCACCCAAAATGTTTCCTGTATCACATATCACTCTTGGTCTTAGGAAGAAAGTTGGGGGGAACATGACAGCTGTGTACAACTCCCAGAGGAGCTTCAAAGAGTAAACTCATTCCATGTCAACTCAGGATGAAACTAGGACCAGCGGTCAGTGATGAGAGGCAACTCCAGCTCAGGCTAACACTGTGCCCACCACTCTCCACAACCTAATTAATTTCTACTTGTTCTTTAAAACCCAGGTAATAGGGCCTCTCCTCTGGCAAGTGTTAAGTGGCCCTTGGAACCTCTCACAGGCGAACCATGGACTCATCTTTCTCCACATCTGTCACACTACTCTAAGCATCTCTCACACAGTTCTTGAGGGCAAGGACTTCTGGCTTCTACTCACCACCAAAACCCCCAGACTGTGCACAGTGACCGGCAGAGGCAAGCCAGTCCCGGGCATCATCCAGTGGAACACTTCCCCTTGTTTTCACTTTTCTCCCTCCCCTCCTCTCTCCTTGCCACTTGCTTCAAGCTTGGTCAAAGAAGACAATCTTCCCTGATAGAGGAGGACCTTTCCTTGCCCAGGGTGCACAAGTACTTGTGTTCCCTGAACAGAACCTCCAAACAAGCTCTAAAGTTCCTCACAATAGTCAAAAGGTGGAAGTGACTCAAGTGTCCACTGAAGGACTGATAAGCACAATGCGGTCTATACACACAATGAAACATTATTCAGTCTTATAAAGGAAGAAAATTCTGGCACGTGTTATAACACAAATAACTTTGAAGAAGTTAAATACACCAGTCATAAAAAGACAAATATTGTATGATTCCACTTATATGAGATACCTAGAGTCCTCAAATTCATAGACACAGAAAGAAAATGATAGCTGCCAGGGACTGGGGGGGAGGATGAAATGGGTGACTTAGTGTTCAATGGGCAGTTTCAGTTTCGGAAGATAAAAAAAAAATTCTGAGGACAGATGGTGCTAATAGTTGCAGAACAATGTGAATGTACTTAATGACACAGATTACATGTAAAAATGGCAAAGCTGTTGATCATGTATATTTTACAATTTAAAAAACATTAAAAACCACCACCCTTAAAAAAAGGGCTTCCCAAATGGCTCAGTGGTAGAGTCCACTTGCCAATGCAGGAGACACAGAAGATGTGAGTTTGATCTCTGGGTCAGGAAGGTCTCTTGGAGGAGCAAACTGCCTGGGAAATCCCATGGACAGAGGAGCCTGGAGGTCATGAGGTCGCAAGTAGTCAGACATGATTGAGCGCACACACACACACAAACACCTTTTTAAAAAAGGAATTCATTTTGGTAAAGGTAAAAGGTGTGTGTGCTGAGGGGTGGGGGGTCTGACACAGTATCCAGCACTACAGGCAGGGCTCTGCTCCACAGACCAGTTTGAAAACAACATTTGGAGAAAGGGATAAAGATCAGACACTGGCTCAAGGAACAGTGCTTATGTAGCTAAAAATCACAGGGTTAGATAATTTTAATACCAGATTATATACTTCTACAGTCATAAAATGACATCTTCATTAGCTAAAATACCTTTGCTTCCTCTGCCATTTTTTTCTCTTCATCCACCTCTTCAGTCTTGGCTGAATCTTCACTTTGGAGTTTTCTTCTCTTCTGCTTGGGAGCCATGAAGCCTTGGAGAAACTTCTTTATGACACTGGCTTGAAGGGCAATCACACATTCACCAAAATCCTTCAGTTTCTCTAGTGAGATCACCTACAGAAAACAATTTCAAGACTAGACTGAGAAAGACCATCCTCAATTAAATTCAAGGCAACCTAAACCATAACTGGTCACACAGCATTAATTTAACCGGGCGCCTCAGTTCAATGGAAGGCTTATACATTTGAAAGTAGCCAGACTACCTGGATATCCCTGATGAAGGGACCCATGAGATGCTGAAACTTGCTTACTTAAGGAAGTTACTGAGCTCATTCATTCACTCAGCAACCAAGTGCCTACCAAGTACAAATGACAGTCCCAAGGCAAAGAAAAACAGAAGGAAAGCAAAAATTTACCAACCTATTAGCTTACAAACTATAAGCCACATAATACATTTTAGATGACGATCTCATCAAAGCCTCACACTGATTTTATGAATGAGGAAACACAAGCTAGATCACTGATCCAAATCATGCTCTACCTTCTTAGTCACACAACATATGCCAATTTAAAAACACCATTTTGTAACTACAAAGAGAATCAAAATATGGTCCATTGGAGAAGGGACTGGCAAACCACTCACTCCAGTCTTCTTGCCTTGAGAACCCCATGAACAGTATGAAAACAGAAAGAATGATGATAATCCAATGTTAGCAAGGTATGGGTCTGGGTTTGACACAAAGTAGGCAACTGATAAATACTTGCTAAATTAAAAAGCAATTGTAGTATTTGAAACTGGCAGAATCCTTTTGGTTGAATAATTCCTATTAAAAAAAAAAACGTGAACAATAAAGATGTTTCAATCCTTTTCCCCAGGGAATATACCAAAAATTCTTAACAGAACTAATGAAAAGTTACATACATTAAGATGATATATGATTTGCTAATTCAAATAGCAAAGAAAGAAACAGAAGTCTGACAATAAAAGAGTTACCATATCAACTCCATGGCTTATTATGTACACCAAAATGATACAAAGACTAAAAGAAATGGAAAGTTCCTATAAAGGAGGGAAAACTGGGTGGGGGGGGGGGCAAGGGGGATCCCCAACTGCTCATAAAAATCATATAACTATTAACACATATAATGCATATGAACAATTTGAAAACACTCACCAATATTGATGTTTGGAGTTAGGTGGACTTCATTACTTAAAATTAACATAAAAATTAGCCTGCCAGGCTCCTCTGTTCATGAAATTCTCCAGGCAAGAATACTGGAGTGGGTAGCCATGCCCTTTTCCAGGAGATCTTCCCAACCCAGGGATGGAACACGGGCGTCCTGCATTGCAGGCAGATTCTTTACCATCTGAGCCACCAGGGAAGCCCCACAGTAATAACTGATGGACAGTGTTTTCCAATCTTTTCTCCAGCTTTGATACCTAAACTTATCTAATGTTGGACACAGTCTCTTGAACTGGGTCACCTACAACACTTAAGGGTCCTTCTGAGCAGTAAGTGACAGAACAATAAATGTACCTTCAATGAAATTACCTGTTTAACAGCATGAGTGTTGCCCAACGCAAGATTAACTCTACTGAGTTGATCAGGTTAGAGAATGGACAAAAGCAGGATACACAAATATTTCCTACCTTAAAGCACAGGCATCACACGGGAACGGACAGGTTAAATAATGTTATATGACTATGACTTTGGGACTAGTTTTCTTTCAACTCAACAAAAAAGCTCTTTTTTAACAAATGTTCTGTGCCAACTATTAGATTTTTCTGGATACTAGCAGATGATGAAAAGGGAAAAATATCATATGTACACAGAGAACTTAGTCTTTCAAAAATAAACTCAAACATATGATCCCCGGGGTCATCTAGGGAAGTCAAGAAGAGTATCAGGGAACAATTCCAAATTAACAGACTTCAAGGGTATTTTCCTGATGGTCTTACCCGAGCTTCAAATTCTGAGGTTTCTTCCACATAACCAAGTCCTCCCTTCTGTAACCTTGTTGCAACTTCAATGAGATCACTCCGAAGAAAGTTTAACAGCTCCTGGTTGCCATCACAGGATTTTAGACCTAAATTTGGCTTCCGGGCCAGATGAATAGAATGAATAATGTCCTGGTACCTAGAAAAGTTGAAGGAAAGGGGAGGAGGAATAAAGGAACTTAAAGAATGATCTACAGATTCCAATGACTTGAATGACATGTTTTATTTCTACAAAACTGTTTCAGATCTTTTTAGTTTTGCTTTCTAATAATCTGTTTCTTACACAAATCTCAAATTTCTTTTTCTTGATTCTTTTAAAAAACACACTGATTGTATTCTGCACATGGTAATTCCAGTATTTTAAGTGTGTTTCTTTACCTAGCTCTCATTCATGGTACCTGATTTGTGTGGGTTTTAACTTTTTTTTACCATGATTTTTTTGGAATTATATCTGTGGAAATTCTTTGAGGCCTGGTTTGAAGTTGTGCTCCTCCAGAGAGAATGTTCATTTGTACACTCTCAATTCCCCCCATCCCCTGGCAACTACTAATCTATTTTCTGACTATAAATTTGCCTACTGTGGATATCTCATATAAGTGAAATCACACACTATGTAGCCTTTTATGTCTGGCTCCTTTGACTAAGCATAATGTTCATTTATGTGGCTGCATATTTCAGCACTTTTTTCCTTTTAATGGTTGAATTTATGCATACATCACATTTTGTTTATTCATCCATCAGGTGATAAAATTGAGGTTGTTTTCATTTTCTGGTTATTTTGGATACTGGGAGAATACTTCTGAATACCAACCGATGCAAAACTGTGTTTACAAAGCTGCCTAACTACAAAGAAGCTCTCAGCCTGGTATGTGGCATGTTAGTGAATAACCCTGCTACCCTGTATACACATGCTTTAATAGCATAATTTTCCAAATAATTATGAGGTGTCAAGAAAATACCAAAAAACAAGAAGATAAGAGGGTTACAGGCTTTTAAAATTTTACTTAAGCTTTTATGGATAAACCACCACCCCCCCCCCAAGGTATGTGTAATATCAAAACGCAGAAGAGAAGATGTGAAGAGCAAGATGAAAACCCTTACCTCTTCTCTAGTCTCTCTTTAAGCTGACTTTCTCTTATTCCCTGAGGGTGAAGGCAATTTAGCAACTCATCCAGTTCCTTCTGACTATCACATAAAAACCTGCAGGAGTAAAAAAAAAAAACAAAAAACTTGTTAACTCTGGGGGGGGGGGGGGAAATCAAACACTATGGTGGTGGGAGTGGGAAAGCAAAATTCCAACCTTGCTCAGAAGTAGAACAATTTACTGTTGCCATAAGACCTAATGTTAACTTTATCCCAGGACACTGGAGCCAATGTTTCTGCTAAAACGTAATATGAGACAAGTATACAAATTCACGAAGTTCACTCTTGTCCCTACCCCTTTAAAGAGTAAACTTATATCCAAAACCAAAGGTGAGCACAACCAAAGCAGCTGATGCAATCACAAAGTAGAAAGGACCCTCTCCAAAACCTAGTTCCCAACTTAAAGCAGAATAGGCACACAGAAGATTAATGGCTATATTTATAATTCTTTATTCTTTAACAGAGATGAAAATACTGCTCTATTCCCAAGCAGACTGAAAGGCATTTTCAATGCTATATAAGATCTATCATATAATATAGTTACATCACAACAGAAAAATAAATTCTAAACCTTAAAGCAAACAAATATATTCTCATTAAAAAAAAAAAAATCAAGTCTGCTTTTAAAGCAATGAGGTTACATATCCAAGAAATCAGAGTCACACAAAATGCTCTCAATAGTGAATAACTAACTCACTGGTGTCACTGTATCAAATATTTTCTTAACACTGAAAATGAAAAAGAAAGAGCAACCAGATGAATGCTCACATTACCATAGATTCTGTCCTTGTTTGGGTATAGTGGTCTCGACAGCAATTTCTGTTGCTGGGCCGTGTTGCGTGTTCATGCTTACATTTTTGCCTAGGTTTGCTTTCTTACCTAAGAAAAATGTATACGTTAGGCTGAACACTGCAAATAACTCCACTCCTAGTTTTAAATTTAAGCAGTACACAGACGCTGCCTATTGAATATATCCACATATACAACAGATGCTTATTTCTCTTAAACATCTTACAGACAGCACAGTATCTGGGATAGTTGCTCTCTAGACAGCTGAACAGTTGTACAGGTCAAAATTTAAGAGTATCACAAGTTAGAATGAAGAGAGATGACTAAATATCTCAGAGCACATAAATAATCTGCTCCTGGTACATGACGATGTTTGGCACAAAGACACAAGTACCTGTGGTGAAGTAGACACAAATGAAATATATAAGCTACTACAAGTTTAGCCCTGGAAGTGGCTGCAAATGTCAAGTATGATGAACTTTTTTATAAACCAGCTCCTGTACCCAAATATATGATGTTACTAGATAGATCTAAAGCCAGTATTTGAGGCTTTACCTAATCCTACAATTGCTTCTCTCCCCTGCCCTCCTTCTCCCACTTTAACCTGTACATCTTCCCTGCAACATTAACATGTAACCTTGTTGTGTCTTTTCCATCAGGGAGTTCTGAAGAAACCCTGCCATGCTGGAACTAGACAATAGGAAGGCACAACATCTACCAGGATGCTCTAGAAGTGAAGAAATATGGATGACAACCTCCTCTCAGGAGAATCCGTAACTGTGGGACTGGATTTCTAAAAATAGCCATTAATTTTCTGAGACACATAATAAAACCACAGTGCTTCATCCCATTGGAATCACTCTCAAGTCTGAAGATCCTCACTTCACATTTGCTGTTCTCACTTGGATATTTACAAAGTCTGCCCAAACTAGATTTTTCTACTAAGAGCCACATTTGGACACACAACATAATTCAACATGAAAAATGTCTTAAATATGAAGTTCAGGGATATACATTAATTTTATTATTTAACAATTTTGTGAGTTTAAAGTCTGAATTATGAGTTTCTCTAAAATGAAAGAAAACACATTTTAAGGAGCAATTTTCATTAGGTTACTATAAAGCACAACTTGAAGGAAACTTATGGATCATCTAATGCAACGGTTCTCAACAGAAAACCAGGCTGCCTCCTAGGGGACGTCTGGCAATACCTGGTGGCATGTGGTTGTCACTAACGGCGTTCAATGGGCAGAAGTCAGGGATGCTGCTAAATAACCTACAATGCATAAGACAACCTCCCACTACAAAGAATTATCTGTCCCCAAACGTCAACAACAGTGATGCTGAAAAAATCTGATCTAACCATCTGGTATTTTTAAATTAAAAATTTTTTTTCTTTTAATTTCTTTCTTAGGAAAAAAAAAGAATTACCTCAATTCCAGCCTTTGAAGTACCTACAAAGAGACTCCCAAGGAACAAAGTCTGAAAACTACTCGTATAAATATAATACCCAAATATCCTAAAACTCAAGTTTTTCATCTTTTCACACTATGCCTATATCAACACAAAACTGGTAATCAAATGTTAAGTTTTCTTCCTTTTTCTAGGCATTTCACATCTTCCCACCTCACTCAAATAATTCTATCTAAGAAGATGATAAAGAAATTTAGCAAGTGAAAAAAGTGACAGAGGAAAGACAGTCTTGAGCAGGATAAATAACTAACAGATATACATACTCCGGGGACAGTAGTCCTCATCAGCAGAGTCTGCGTGGTCTTTCCGCTGATGGCTGAATCGGTAGGCGATGCTGTCGTGGACCCAGCCCTTCTCAATGAACAAACCTGGAACTTCATCTGAGAAGAGCCAGTATCTACAAATCACAACCGCATGTTAATATAATAATAAAACACCGTGAGCACAGGATGACTTCCATGACACGCAAGATGATTACACAATGTCACTGAACATTGAGCAGATACAAACTCTAAAGTAAAGGACAGCATACTAAAATTTGGGGAATCTGAGATTCACTTCCTATCTATAATTTTTATAACTACTACTATTTCTCTGCTTTAGGTTCCTATCTTACCATTTTTAGAGACTTCTATTAGGATGACATTTCTCCTACCACCATAACTTAAGCTTCCTATCTGTCTGGTCTTCAAGGACAAGGTCACATGTTATCTAACTTCATAACCCTAGCAGTTGGCACAGTAAATATTCAAACAAATGTGCGATGAGCAATTCTGTGTCCAATATCCACAAACAGGGAAGCTTGTCTAATCTTAATACTAACTAGCAACACTATAACAGCCCTAAGAGATGATAAAAATTGGATTTAACAACTGACCTGTTATGGTTCCTATCTGTGCCAATTGGAGTCCTCCGCATGACCAGTTTCGCCTTGGCAATCCCTTCCTGGAAAGCCTTCTCAGCAGCCGCTTTGTGCTTTCGTATTCGTTCTTCTTCAGCTTCGCGTTCCAGTTTCACTGTCGAAGGTAAAAAGAAGCAATAATTAGATTTTTTTTCTAGTAAATCTTACAAATTTAAATAAGGAGTGAAAAGTGCCTGATATAAACTAGATAGTCATCAAACCTTCATTTCCTTCTCTTTATTCTAAGCTGTTGTTAAGAAATAATATGAAAGGCAGCAATTTCTATCTGGTCCTTCTATGGTCTTTGAATTTCGGTGATGCCTCAGCCATCAACTCAGTGCAAAATCTGTTCTCTCCAAATCTTAACATTTTATTAACTTTATAATAAATTAATTTTATTTTACTGACAATTAATTTTAAATGAAACCTTAAAATAGTCCTCATGTGGAATTAACTGACACATTTTCTGACAGGACTAGCCATAGGGTCCTCAAAATGATCAGGATGAATAAGACCAGAATAGTTATTTCAAAACAGAACATATTTCAGTCCTGAGGAATTTAGAAAAAAAGAACTGAGAAAGCAAGAGCAGGGAAGCATTGGCAGATAATAGCAATTACTGCCTACTTAATATAATTTATCAAGTTATTCAGCAAGTTAACACTGTCAATGATGAAAAAAATTCTTAATCCATTTATTTGTGGTCATTCCTAAGTTTATTCTATCTAGATAGAAATCTCCCTCAACAAAGAAAGAAGTCCTGGAATATTGCCTTTTAAGTTTTTCCACAACTGTCACAAATTTTGTTACTATAAATAAAGGGTACTGCTATTTACAATGCCAGAAATTTTACTGCTCTACTGATGATATCACCTACAGTGTAGCAAGAATCTGGAAAATGCATCAGTCTAGAGATGTTACTTTAGAAAATTAAGACAACTTTCACCTATTTAAAACCAATACAGGGAAATTCCTAGGAGGTGCAGCAGTTAGGACATGGCGCTTTCACTGCCATGTGAGTGAAGGCGCTCAGTCGTGTCCAACTCTTTGCGACTCCATGGACTGTAGCCCACCAGGCTCCTCCATCCATGGAATTTTCTAGGCAAGAGTACTGGAGTGGGTTGCCATTTCCTTCTCCAGGGGATCTTCCCAAGCCAGGGATCGAACCCAGGTCTCCCGCATTGTGGGCAGACGCTTTACTGTCTGAGCCAGCAGGGAATCACTGCCATGGGCCCTAGGTATAAACACCCATGAAAAATGAAAACCTATGTTCCCACAGAAACTTGTACGGCAATGCCTGCAGCCAGAAGAGTAAAACAAAACAAATGCCCATCAACTAATAAACAGACAAACAAACGTGGCATATCCAAAAAGTGGAACAATATTTAACCATAAAAAGAATGAAGTGTTGAAACATCCTACAACCTGAACCTTGAAACCACAGTTAAGTGAAAGAAGCCAGTCACAAGAGACCACATATACAACTCCACTGATATGATGTAACAGAATAGGCAAATACAGAGATACAGTCGTGGAAGCTGATTGCTTAGGACTGGGGGCAGGGATGGGATCATGATAACTAAAGGGCATGAGGTATTTTTTTGAGGTGATGAAAGTGTTCTAAAATTGATTGTGATAAAGACTACACATATCTGTGAATATACTAAAACAATGAACTGTACAATAAACATGGATGAGATGTGTAGTGTGTGAATAATATCTGAGGTGGCAACCAAGCTGAGGACTTCAAATACCTTGTCATTCAATTGTTACAACAATCTTGAGCATATGAGGATAAGCAACTTGCTCAGAGAACTACATAGCTAAATCAGAGGTAGGGTTTAAACCCAGGTTGGCCCATTCCCAAGTCATATGTTGTTTCTAGCACGTCTCTTTGTGGATGTGGTCCTTCACTAGAGCCAGAAAAGATGCGGCCATCACACTAACCCAAGTCAAACTATGCCTGTCAACCAGAATGCCTGGTTGAACACTCCTGCTAGACTCTCACACACGTAGGAGGAACTGGGTTATCACACACAAAAATAACTGCACAGTTGTGACAAATGAAGACACTACCATGACACCGTAGTGACTTCCATCTTTCCACAAGATTTTACCTTTCATTTCTCTCTCCTGAATCTCTCGCTCCTTCTTAGCCTGAATGGCAAGCAGTCGTCTGCTCTTCACAGCACTAATCATGTCTTCAGCTTCCATATCTACTTGGGGCTCAAACTTCACAACTTCTTTTTTCCTGTCAGCTTTGCCTAGCCCATTCTCCTCTTTTCCATTTTCTTTATTCCGGGCTTCCATTTCTTTCCGTTTCTGTTTCTCTGCTCTCTTCTTATCATTTTCTTCCTTCAACACAGCAAGCCGTTCCTTCCATAACTCTGCAGACATCTGCTGCCTGGTTTCCATGTGGTCCTGCACGGAGTATGTCATGAGAATCCGGTGGCAAAGGGCTGTCAAGATCTGCAGTTTCTCTTCTGATGTGAGTTCAAAAAATTCAGAGGTTTCCAGCTTTTCTAGGAACTCATCTTGGACCTCACTGTCCTCGAATGACGCAGAGTCTTTATTGTCGTCTGCGTCTGAGCCCTCGCTCTCTTCCTGAACATCAGATTTGCGCAAGCAGAGCCGAACCAGCTCTGACACAGAATGCAGGGTCAGAGGGATTTCTGACAGCTTCATTCCCAGTTCACCATAGTCTTCTGCTATTTCATCTTGTAACAAGGTCTGCAGGAGGATGACCAATACTCTATTCAAGTATAAAAAGCCACCCTTCTCTGCACTCAAGGCTTCCATGAGGGACACGGCAGTGATGGGATACTGGGCATCTGGTAGGAGTAACCCAGAGTAACAGCTCAAGAACTCCACCACCATGGCCACGTCCCCAAAGAGTGTGTTGGGCAGCCCCTCGGGGGTATCTACCAATTTAAATGCTGGAAGGGTTTTGCCAGTTAACTCTTGGTCCTCGTACCGCTTCTGTTTCTCGAGTCTCTCAAGCATTTCTTTCTCTCTCCGCTCCTTCGCCTTCTCCTTCAACTTCTCTTTCAGCTCCTCTCGTTTCTTTTTCAGATATTCTTTGCGCTGCTCTTCGGACATAGAAGCCCACCTCTTTTTGTGCTCTAGGAGCTCAAAGCGTTTCTGCACGAGACTCCGCAGTTCTTCCGGGAGGCGCGCCCTGTCTTCGCTGGAGAGGAGACGAGCTGTCTTGGAGATCACGCAGGACAGCGCGCTCTTCTTGTCCTCCCTGTCTTTGTTTTCCTTGTAGTAGGCGATGAGGTGCAGGGCAGCGGGAGGCAGGTGTTTGTGAGGCTTGCTAGAGGACCTGGGGGTGCCCCCGGAATTCCGCGGGGCTCGAGTCACCTTTTGAGTGCCTTTGGCCATGTCCAACAAAGTCATCTGTTTCATTTTGGTTTTAGGGGTCTTCAGGCCCTTCTTGGGAGATTTGGAATTCCCTGTGGATTTCTGTCCGTTCAAGATGCCTTTGCCTCTGCCCTTGGCTTTCAAAGGTTTGTCACTGTTCTTCCCTGACTTCTTGCCAGGTGGGCCTTTCTTAGGAATGTGAAAGTTGGCATGTAGCTTGTTGGGTGACATCATCTTCATCACTTCCTCCAGATGCTCCTCTGGAGACTTGGAATTCTTTGAGTTCTTCACTTTGAGTGGCGAGCCATTCAAGGATTTCTTCAGGTGTACGTGACACCATAACTTAGGATTTAGTGGTGAACTGAGAGACGAGTTGTCTGTCTTGGATTTCTTTGAGGGCTTCCTGTCTGGAGATCCAGTATTCTTCCTTTTAGTAGATGGGTTGAGAGTCATATACTAGAATTTAAGAACAGAAGCAAAATTAATTTTAAAACCTAATTTAAAGAAATACTATTTAAACATCCTAAAGGCCCTCTTCCCATCCACTCAGGTAAAGCTACATATTCATTCTCTTCACGGACAGCCTGAGAAAACAAAGCCATGAATGTTAGCTAATATTTTATTTAGCCTCATCAACACAAAATTCTCCTGACACCAAGACTTAAAAGTCTATACTCCAGGATGTCCCTGGAGGTCCAGTGGTTAAGAGTCCATGCTTCCACTGCAGGGACACAGGTTGGATCCCTGGTCAGGGAACTAAGATCCCACATGCCATGCCGCATGGCCAAAAAAAAAAAACCACCTATATCAGGCATTTCTGGTATGAGACTACTTTCTTACATATAGATTTTGAGTCTTTAAATACCTTAAAGAAATCTGTGAACTCTTTCCCCAGAAACATACAAAAATCATGTATACAATTTCAGAGTCCATGGGACATAGACTAAGGACATTTGATCTGGATAATGGCAATATCTGATAAATCTTACAATATACTGCTCAAGACAGATTTGGATTTTTATCCTTTCAACTTCTGTTACAACTGGCAGTATTCTGTGCTTAGGATAAGAGAAAGTATACCATTTAAGTACTTTTGTTTAAATTCAGAAACATATTTCCTTATGAAGAGTATCAGTAAGTATAGTAACAACAAAACACTGCTCACAAATAAAAAGCTTTCCTGATCCTGGCGTTCTGGCTCCCCACACCTCAAGAACCCATTCCCATGAATACATTATTAACTACAAGTCTGATAAGTTTTCAACCTCATACAATTCTGTCCTTGATTGTCCTCTCACATCTTTCAAATTCACTCCCTTTAGCACCCCAACTCCGCAATCCTTCAATCCCAGCAGAACCATTAATTCATTAATCCATTAATTCTATCACATTTTTACCAATCTCACTTCTTCATCCTTTACCCAGATTAAATTCCAGTCAGTCATTCCAATCAACCTTGCATAAATCTACAGTCCCCTTGCTCTATTGTATCTAGTTAGTCCTAGCCTACACACGTTCAGCTTAAACATGACTAGAATAAAAGACACAAGGACAGTGTGTGGACTTACTTTAGATCTCCACCTTATCCCCATCATACAGAATTACTTAATAGGTTAGAACCCAGTCAACCTGTCATTCCACCACTGTTTCTACTTAGGTGTTTATTAAAACAAAAACACTGTTGATTTTGATGCTTTGAAAGAATATAATTACAGAGAGAAAAGCCTGGCAGTTAAAATAAACTACATGAAATAACAACCAAGCAATGAAAAAGTACCAACTCAAAAAAAAGTTAGTCTTAAGTGATTAGAAGAAAGACTAGATAACCCCTAGAATACTTGATTTCTATCACCAAAAGCAGTTAAGCACACAGAAGGCAGTCAGACACAGAAGAGTGTAACTTCAAGTTTCTGCCTTTAAAGGACTAACTTGTAAAGAGGCAGGCTGGAAGCAGTGGAGAAGACAGGCTAGGGGAGATGAGATTACAAGCAAGGAAACCACTGGAGACCATCAAATATGAAATTAGGACCCTTTAAAAGCCAACAGGGAAGAAAAATAAAATAAAATAAAAACCAACAGGGAAAAGGTTATGGTGAAGTAAGTCTCAGTGATCATAAAGAACACTTATGCTCTTGTTAAGAGAAAACAAAACAGGTAGAGTAAAACTTAATAACCTGTACTATAAAGCCAAATAAGATTTAAACATCAAGGATATATGATCATCAGAGAAACAAACTCATAGAACCTAAGTTGCAGAAGAGGCAGAAATACAGTCTGTAATGAACGAGTGGACTGTATACTTAAGCAATCCTTCTGGCTAAGTTCTCTAACTTTAAAGGCCAGCCTGCCCTTTAAGAACTATAAGCAACTGCAGTTTACCACTCCCCTAGCAGGATAATTGTTCCTTGACCAAAACTGGATGTTCTGTTTCCCAATTATCCTCAGTATGGGCTAATAAAAAGGTTTCATAGTTTATAGAATATATACATTATCTGTGACTCAGGGCACAGTTTCCCCAGAGGTAAGAACTTCCCAGTTCTAGTTCCCCAGAACTCTATTTCAAAATGTTAAAAAAAATAAGCAAAGGTAACTTATTTAAGAGTCCATCCTTCTTGTGGGCAGAATAGCAACAAAACTTCAAAGAAAACAATTATTTCAGAGACCACCCTACAAATCACAGACTAAGGCCCAAAATTACCCTGGCAGGAACTAAAGATAAATACGTGCTTTCCAAAAGTTAATCATCCACTTCAGTTAGACTTGGAAAATCTTCTGAGTATAGACATAACACACTGATGCTTTTTCTAATGTGCAGGATAACAGACTATCTCTAAAGTCATTCCAAAAATTTATCACTAAAAAGGAGATGAGACTTCATTTTTACCATTTTTAATAGATATCCTGTAATAGGATCTATTATAATTGGGCCACTTTTTAATTTACTGATTACATTTCTATTTAAAAAGCCACTCAAGCATAAATTTTTAGCATAAATTTCTTCTACTTAGAAGCACTGTATTACGCAGAAATGATTAAGCAAGAAAGAGCTGGGAGGATGGCATAGCCATGAGATGGTCCAGGAGCCCATTTATAAGATGTGTTTGTTTGCCAAGCCACACTATATATATATAAATATATATTTTTTTTCCTTAAAAATGAAAGAAATTAACTCACCCAACCCCCTCCCAAAAGGCCGGCTCCCCGCGTGAGCAGTCCTTCAGTAACTGGATCGTCTCAGCATAGGGCATGCTGGGCAGCCACAGCCAGTGGGAGCGGGCATGGCTGGGCTCAGGGGGAATCTGAAAAAGTATAAAACCACGTATGTGCTAAGGGTCTACCCTGTCCCCCGTTCAACAAAAGTCATCTAGAACAGCGCACCGAGAGGGAGAAAGGAACGGGCACCTGGATTAGCAGTATTATAGCTCTTCCAGCAAAGGCCCTTCTTAACTGAAAAATGGGAAAAAATTATTTATGTCTCAGGAACACAAGACACTATACAATTCCACAATTGTGTCTACAATTCCACACTTGTTCCCTGTCACCTGGAACAAACCACCACCACAAATAAGGAAATCTAATAAGATAAAAATGAATAAACATATTTATAGCAACTCATTCAGATGCTAAATTTAACTTAATAGTTAGCAGTAAGAACCTTGAATTAGAAAACTTTGGCAATCCATATTCTGATTCTTATTTCACTCTTCTCATTTGCCCAAGGAACCGTGTTAGGAATTTCAAGATAACATTCACAGAGTGGGCTTGTCTCAATCTCTTGATGCTTTTATCAGCAAATGTGTGAAATGTGTTACAATAAAATAGTTTTAAGTGCTCTGAAAATCACTTTATTTTTTAAAATACTTCAGCTCTAGTCTCTATTCAAAACCAAACTTCACAAACCAAAATTTATTCAAAGAAAAATCTTAGGACTATAAACACTTGAAATATCAGTTATTAGGATAAGAAATATCTTTTAAAACGTACAAGAATTAAGTATCACTAGTAATGAGACAAAATTACACCACGTGCCTTCTGATATGATTCACTGAGAAGAATACAACAACAATTCTGTGGTATTTCTAAGCATGAGGATATAAACTCAAATTGAGGAGCATTATGCAAAATAATTGACTTGTGTTCTTAAAAATGTCAAGGTTTTTAAAAGACAATGGACAACTGAGACTAGAGAAGACAAGAGACGTAACAGGTAAAGGTAATACATGATACTACATTAAATCCTACTTGGGCCAAGACAAACTTTGTTTGGCTAAAAGGATGTTATTGGGACAATTAGCAAAATCAGAGTTAAAGCTGTGAGTCACTTCCTTCCACACCGACAGCACTCTCAAAGACATGGGGACCATTCCTAAAACCTGTTGGACTCTCTGCAGTCAATGCCACAAGCACCAGGCCACAAAGAGACACAGTCCAAGAAGCACAAGGAGTCTCTCTATTCTCCAGGGAAAGAAGAGTTATGACAGGAAGCAGAGTGGCTATGGTGGACAAACTCAGCTGGTTTTCCAGAGAAAGGCTAAAACCACAAAGATTTTGCAGAGGCATGAATGCACTGAGCCCAAATGCAGATCTAAGAGAATGCTGGCTATTAAGAGATACATGCATTTTGAGCTGGGAGGATGTAAGAAGAGAAAAATCCAAAGTGATTCAGTTCTAAGCTTCTTATTTTGTTTTATTATGAAGATAATAAAATCTTGAGATTATGGTCACTTAAAAAACTCTAGATAAAAAAAAAAACTCTAGATCAGGTAACAGTATTGCTATGATGCTAATTTCTTGATTTTGGTAATTGTACTACAGTTATTAATAGAAAATATCCTTGTCTTTTAAGAAACACATATTCATGTATTTTGCAAAATGGCATCCTATCTTATAACCTACTACCAACAGCTCAGAAAAAAGTTTGTGTGTGAAGAGAAAAAAAATAAATGTGGTAAATGTTAACAATCGAGGAATCTACCTGAAGAATACACAGAAATTTTTTGTAGTATATGTCAGTTTTTCTGCATGAAATTATTTCAAAATAAAATGCTTTATAACTGTATTAAGAATCATATTAAACCAATCCAAATTATTTTAGGACTTCAAATGTCTTAAAAAGTATTATTTTCTTGTTGTCTCTAACCAAATGTTTCCCTACTAGGATATACCAGCTCAAAATAAGAGTTCAAAACATTATGGACAGGGGACTCCCTAGCAGTTCACTGGTCAGGACCCTGTGGTGCCACTTCAGGGGGCGTGGGTTCGATCCCTGATCATCCTGCATGCTGTAAGGCAAAAAAAAAAAAAAAAAAATTATGGACAGACTAACAAAACACTACAGCGGCAATGTATTACCAGAGGGTAATGAGCTAAGATGGCTGATTTCATCTTAGATGAACGTTATTTTATTATTCAAGTGCCTTATAAATCATTCCTCCAAGTCATTAGGCCTACAAAATGTTTTCCCTAAACTCAACTGTCAGCTGCATTTTTCTCAATGAACAAAACTTCTTAAAGAAATGAATTCACTAGCCATATACATATTATACCTGTGCTAAACATCACAGGCTATAAGATGAGTAAAACAGTTCCTAATCTCAAGTAATTTATGTTCTAAGGTTTACAAGACCACAAACACATGCCTATCAGGCTCTGCGCAGATAGCACTCAAAAATTCCACTTTTCTAAATAATCTTCCTCTCTCCCACTTAAGCTCTCCCCATCAGTCCTTTCCTAACATCATTACTCACAACTTGCTTCCTCTCTCCAGACCTCATCTCTCTCTCCAGTAGTTGTATTCAGTGTTTTAGTGCCCAAAACACTAAATTCTACTAAACCAAAGACAAAAAATTTTTAACCTATTGCTTTTGGTTCTGATTTTAATGTAGGTGTTACTGAAGCAAGCACAAACCCATTGCCTTTGGGATAGGCAGATCACAAGTGATCAACTTTAATTCTCCATGAATTATTTTAAATTTCCTTTAGATCAGGAAAGAATCCAAAGCACTCTTTCATGGTCTACTTATCTGTGCCTTAAGTATATTCTGTCTTGGCTGTGACGCCAAAAAGTTTTTTAAGACAGCTGACTTTATAAAAAGGAAAAACAAACATATATAAACTCAAAAAAGAAAAATCAGTGAAATATCACATAGTATTGGGGAATAAGAAATTACTCTTTAGGGACGCAAAATACATAATAAGATAAGTATATGCTCTTAATTTGTAGACTGGTTATCTTACATGACTCCCCATTTCTCTAAGTAGAATCATTGCCTTCTTAACGGCAGTTTAGTCTAAACAAGCTTGTACTCCCTAGTCTCCCTCTGAATTATAGCCAAATTTCATTAAGTTAATATTTTAAGCTCTCATAAGAACATTTCAGAATAGCCAATTTCTTCAGAAATTGCTTTTCAACAGATAAATTCCTGGAATTCTAAGTCTCTGGCTCCTACAATAAGTATGGATCAGTTTTTTTTTTTTAAATACGTTTCTAAGTGAGGTGAGTGGAGCTTTCTAATTTTTCCTAGTTAATTTTATTTTTTATTCATTTATTTGGCTGCACCAGGTCTTGGCGCAGCATGTGGGATCTAGTTCCCTGACCAGGGATTGAACCTGGGCCCCCTGCATTGGGAGCTCAGAGTCTTAACCCCTGGGCCAGCAGGGAAGTCCCTGGATCAGTTTTTTTGTTCTAATAAAACCCAGAGATCTTTTATCCATAAACAGTCTTTCTTTCATGTTATTCATATTATTTGAATCACTAAGCTAAAATACATAAAAGACAATTGCAAAATTTTAAGAGAGGAAGAAGATTCGAGTCTTAAAACTCATTTAGAGATGATTTTATATAGAATTGTTTATGTTTGCTTGATCATGCTGGCCTAGAATAAGAAAACATGGTAATGCTAAACCATGGTTGGAGGTCTTTTCCAAGGTTTGAAAAAATATATGTATTTCTCAACATACTTTTGCTAGCAATATCAACATAAGATAATTGACATAATTTAGTTGTATGACTCACTTGTAAGATATCCTTAGTTTTTCATAATTACAAGGAAGAGATAAAAAGAGAAATCCTGAATTCTGACTTAGTTTTAATGCACCAGCTGCCCTCTCCTGATCACATTCTGGCCCAGAGATCAAGATGAAATATCAGTATATAAATAAGTAAATTTATCAACAAAAGGAAATATAAATACTCTCAAAACCCACATTTAAAAAATATCATTGAAGAAACCCTGAGATGGAAAAGGCAATCAGAAATCCAAGCCAATGTCTTAGCTTCTGTCATTTACTTTCTGCTGGTTCTAATTAGACTAGTCTCAGTTTCCCCATCTGGAAAATAAGATTAATACAGATATACCATATGATTTCATCAGAATATTGTGAAAACCCAATGAGATAATTAAAGGGAAAAAAACAGAGGGGAATGTTAGATTTTCTAATTCTTTTCAAAAATGTCAGTATATTTGACCTTATCTGACAATACAAATATTAGCTTTCATTTTTAGTAATCAATTTGCAAAATATTTTCAACACCATACCTCATTCCAAGAAAGATCTGAGACAAAAAAGCACATGCATGTAATGTTTCTTTGTTTTAATTATGCAACCACAGTAAAAATAAGTCATATTAGAAGAAGAGATATTCAATGCAACCTCTCTCCTACCAACCCCATTATCACAACCCATATGAAATAGACACATGTGAAAAAAATTTGAATTCATTATTTAAAATTACAGTTTAAAATCTACTGTAAATCTAATCCTACTGGAGCCATCAGGGAAAATAAATTCATTTAATAGTGTCCTATCCTTCTGTCCAAAAATTAAGGTGCCTTACCTTGTATGGATCAAGCAGAAAGTCACTGAACTTGCTAGGCAAGGAGTATTTCTTCACTAACTCATCTTCCACCACCCAAGGGGCATTTTCACCAGTGCCAGCCCGTAACGCATTGTGCCGTATAAAGTATCGAAGTATCTCCTTATTTGGTGGGCGTTCTGTACGAATCAAGCTGTCTGCTGGCACATTACTGATGATCTAAATTAACAAAGAAAAATAACTCATTACTGGGGTCAAAAGCAATTAACCAATGAGAACAAAGATCTATACTTTCTCCAGAGAGCTCCTAATTCCACCTATGAAATAGGGTTATCACCTTTTTCAGAGACAGAATGTTAATATTTCTCTAGTCAATTTGTCAACATGTATCAAAGTCAGAAAAATGTGTATATCCATTGTCCACAGTTCCTCTTATTAAGAATTTAGAAATAAATGGAGAGTCATCATCAACTGCTTACAAAAGGTGGGGCGAGGGGGGGAGGAAGGGAAAATACATAAAGATATATCCATAAAGGACTCATTTTTCAAATTAAAATATCCATATAGACACTATGCAGACATGGGGGCAAAGAGTTTCTCAATCAGGACAGAGTTATCAGCATCATCTAGGGTGCTATTACAATGCAGATGCTTGGGCCTCATCCCAAAGCTACTGAATCAGAAGAATTTGTGGTGGTGAAGTCTGGAAATCTGCATTTTTAATAAACTACCTTGGTGACTATCATACATACTTAACAACCTGAGAATACTGTTTTGGAAGAAAATTTAATGATACTTATACCGTAAATGAAAAAAGCAAGTTACAAAATATTATATACAGAATAGTCCCACTTTTGAGAGTCATTTAAAAGCAAACCACCCATTAACCACATCTATATTCACCAATTATCTTCTCTAAGTATGGGATCAGAGATACCTTTTTTCTTATTTGTATTTTGTTTTTCTATAAAACTGTATTTCACAGTAAACCATACTTACTACATGTGAACCAAACAAGTTACAATCATCAATAAGAAAACAAACGTTAATTAGGGAAGTGATTGAGACCTGCTAGCAATGTTTTAGCAACCCACCTTGCTGAATGGGACATAAAAAAACATTTAGTAAAATAAAATGTATTTAACACCCAGTTTTAAAATATAAAGAAATCCTGATAATGCAATTAAGTCTTCAGATCACTAACTATAAAACCAATGATTCAAAATGAAATAAGACTTGTCAACATTTTGACGTGAGGAAAAGAAACAACACTCTAGAAGAGGCTTTCTCAGGCCTTAGCTCCTTCTATAAAACCGTTAAACAGGAAGACAAGTGTGCAGCTGCCTTCCACACCTAGCTGCCCCACTTCTTTCTAATGATAAGATTTTATACATATAGAAATACAAGTACCCGAAAGCAACATGCCATGTTTCATGAAATTTAAGATGTTATTAACGAAAGACACATTACTTTATGTACCACAAAGAAAAAAATTCTTGCCAACTGATATTAAGATATATCCTGATTCCAAAAGATACAAACGGCTATATATAAAATAGATAAACAAAGTCCTAATGTATAGCACAGGAAATTATATTCAGTATCTTTTAATAAACTACAATGAAAAAGAATATACATATATATGTATAACTGAATCACTGTGCTGTACATCAGAAACACAACACTGTAAATCAACTATACTTTCATTAAAAAAAAAAAGATACATCCTGATTCTGGGCATGTAAAAATATGGAAGTTGAACATCTCAGCATCAATAATACATAGTACTAAGTTACTTAAATGGTATTTACCATTTTAGACGATTAGCTCCACAGATTCCTTGTAAAAGCACTGGTTAGAGTTAACTCAGTTTTTGAGCTTATTTTATTACAAATAGCTCTACTTTTAACTGGGAAGAGCTATTTCCTCAGGAAGTCCATAACCACTGTAAACAGATTATTATTTTTTTTTAGACAACTAACTTTGAAGCTCAAATGCAAATTACTCTTACATTCTAATAATTCCTATTAGAAAGGAAAAAGGATGTGCTCTCCTAGGAAAGAAAATCCGATTTAACTTAAAGTCATAATTACAAAGACCAGAAAACCACTCAGAATTTGTTGTAGAAACAAATTCATTCACACAACACATCTTCTATGAGAAAACTAGCCCTTCGATCCTTTCTTAAACAATACTATGTGTAAGAGGCTCAATGTAAAATGCCAACTAACCTTGTCTTCATTCTGTAGCTTCACATCGTATTTGTGAGGCAGAAATTTTGGAGGAGCCCATTTCCTCTCTCCTTTTTTTAATGAAGTAGGAAGTTTTCGTGGAGATCTGCGTGCTCTGTCGTCTAGTCAAATCAACAGAAAATTAGTGGAAAAAAAATAATTCTTTTAATTCTGCCCATTCATTCATTAACAATCACCTTACTGAACACGTACTCTGCAACCAGGCACCAAGTGATGGGACCTGAAGATAAACTGTAAAGCCTTTACCTCAAGTAGCTAAAGTCTATGGGAGGAGTCAATAATACTTAGAATACAATGAGGAAAATACTATAATAGAGATTGGTATGGAAAATTACTACAGGGAGAAAAACACTCAAAAAGAGAGAAGTACGAATTTAGACTGGAAGACAGGCAGGGAAGGCCTGTTCAGAGACTACAAATAACGAGATACGGGTGAATATGATTTACATTATAATTAAAAAAAAAAAATCAGATTATAGGACTTCTCTGGTGGCCCAGTGGTTAAGACTCCAGGGGGCACAGGTTCAATCCCTGGTCAGGAAGATAAGATCCCACATGCCACCTAGTATGGCCAAAAAAAAAAAAAGAAATTAGACTAAAGAGGTAAGTAGAGGTTGATAAATTATAATGAACCTTGCACAACACTTAAATAGACTAGAATTTGTCTTACGGGCACTAGGGAAACAAAGGATTTTTTATCTAAAATTAACCAGATGTACATTTTGGAAAGAGAACTAATGTGAAAAATTAAGAAAAGGAAAAAACACTTTCAGCAGTCAGAAAATGAGTAAAATGGGAAGGTGAAACTGAAGAAAGGAAATCAGAAGATATAATCGTAAACATCTGAATTTATGTATCAGGAACGGTGAAGCGAACAGCTGAGACGACAGACCTGGTAACCAACTAGATGTGGGAGATGCTAAAGGCTTCCCAGTGTTCTGTCTTAGAAACCAAGTAGATGTGTTGAAAAATGAAAAGAAGACAGGACAAAATCATATGAAAACAAACAAAATCTAAAGGAACAGCAGTGGGGAGAGGAAGCAAAAAAAAAAGTAGTTGGAGAAAAAGGAGACCCTGATATTAAATAAACCAAAAATGAGAGTGACCAGTAGTGTTAAATACAAAAATAAAGCATACTAAGAAGAAAACAGTGGGTTTGGCGATTAGGGGTCACCTAAAACCTTCCTAGGAATAGTTCCAGGAGTAAAGCAACACAAGTTAACAGCATAAGGAATAACTGACGGTCAAAAAGGAGAGACAACATTCTCAAGAATTTTGGCTTGACTGAGTAAGTCAGAGAACAGGATCAAGGAAAAATATGTTTTGCTTTTGGAAAATGGGACTTCATGTATAAGTTGAGAATAATCATTCAAGAGCACTGCAGTGCAGAATAATAAAGTTAACCCAATCCTGAGAAAGCAGGAAGGAATGGAATTCAGAGCAGGTATTGTGACCAAGAGGAAGGATAGTTCTTTTCTGATAGAGGAACACAGCAATTCATTACAGTGAGGTTAAGAATACAAAGCTGAGAAGTTCCTGCCTAATACATTTTCCTCCCATAAAGTAGAAGGAAGGTTACCTTGTAAGAAAACATTTTGAATACTGGAATTTGTCTATCATATTTCTATGGAAATGCTAATCAGTTTCCCCTGGAAAACATTCAGAGTACATTGTAAAATTCTTTAGCCCGCCTACTTCTGCCACCTGATGCAAACTGACTCATTTGAAAAGACCCTCATGCTGGGAAAGATTGAAGGCAGGAGGAGAAGGGGACAACAGGGGATGAGATGGTTGGATGGCATCACCGACTCAATGGACATGAGTTTGAGTAAACTCCAGGAGCTGGCAATGGACAGGGAGGCCTGGCGTGCTGCAGTCCATGGGGTCGCAGAGTCAGACATGACTGAGCGACTGAACTGAGCCTGCCTCCCATTCTTTCCACAGACTGGCAATAACATCATATCCCAAAACTGAAACCTAAACTAAGGCATATAACTTCCTAAAAAAGAAGCCAAAGTCTAAAACTAGGGGTTCCTAAGGACACAATGCTTAAGGAATAAAACTAACGGCTTTGACACATTACTGGTATTCTGATGATCTGATTCTATGATCTTTTATTTTTGGCCTAGCTTGGAGGGATCCCAGCTCCCCTGATCAGGGATCAAACCAGTGCCTCCTGCGGTAGAAGTGCAGAGTCCTAACCATTGGACCACTAGGGAAGTCCCTTCCAATGACCTGATTCTAGTAGTGTCAGAAGACAGATCATCAGTCAATACTTAACCAAAACATTTATCAACCTTAAGTCTTGGGTATGTAAGTAAAACTTCAGTATCAAAAAGAAGGAAAAGAGAAACTGAAAAACCTTGATATCAGCATTCATAATACAGAGTGAAAAAACTGAAGCATCAACAACCAAGGTGGACGCATTACAGCAGTCTCAAAAGTTTCCTTGGGACAAGAAAGGACATCCCTTTAAAACCATCTGCACATGCCCAAAACATAAGGAGACAGAAAATAGAATGGAAGACATACAGCATAACACTCTAATGAAATGTTCTAATTCAAACTTTGTAATAGTTACATAATGAGGTAAAATTTGATCCTCTGATAGTCAAGAGGAGGAAGCTCAATATATTCAAACCCTTTGAATACTCATATCTTCAGAGATAGAAGAAATCTATCCCAATTAAATTCCTAATTGACACAGATTTTTTTAAAAAGGAGGAGGAGGGAGGGAGGCCTCAGAGGATAAATGATTTCCCAATGTGTAATGTCTCAGTTCTTGAACTTTCAAAACATTATGTTAGGTATCCAGGTCCCTAAAAATTACTTTTAGACATCATAGTGCTTCAGAATTCTGGCAGTTCCTATCTGAGAAGGAATGTGAATTACAGATAACAGACAAAAGGAAGTACCTCAAAACCATCACACTGGCTTGCAATGTGAAGAGAAACAGGGATTAGAATTTATCCCTCCTACTCAGATCATCCCGCTTCACGCATATATACATAATTCCAACTTAAAGAGAAAAAGAAAGCAAACCTTCTTTCCCAGCTTGGTATGTGCACACAGATTTCCAAGCAACTAGAGGAAATGACTTCCCAGTGTCTTAACTGTGAAAGGAGATTTAAATCCTGAGTCACAGTATAGGTATGTTTTCCAAAGCATAAACAAACAAAAGCATGTCTATCTAACAACAAAATTCAATTACAAACTGAGTTGCAAGAGAACTCAAAAAAGATTTGTGCCTAATAAAATAAACAGAGTTGCAGAGCTCAATAAGGAAAGACAGTATCATACATACTAATACTCTCTCTCCTTCCTTCCTCTTCTTTCCCAATTGCCTCCTTCTTCTGATGGTCCTGAACGATTTGGCTAGAATTCTCTTTGTCGCTTGAGGGAGAGTCACAGGAGCCATCAGATTTCTTCTCAGTGGCCTCTTCATCTACTTTCTCCAAAGGATGAATCTTAACAATCCTCACTTTGAGCATTTTTTCCTTCCCAACCTATAAGAAGATAGGAGAGAGAGTCTAAGATAATAAAGCACTAGAAACCTAAAGGTAACGGTGATGCACATTCCACACCACCTGACCAAAAAGTACCTGAAAGCTCTAAGGGAGCTAAGTACAGTGATCTGTTCCCCAACTTCATTTCCCAGACCTCTGGTTTGAAACAGGACATCTTAAAAAATTAAAATGATCACCATCTAGTTCGTAATTCATGTACCAACGTATTAAGGCCAAAGGGTAACTACTATACAAACCTGATATATGTAAACAAAGTTCAAGAATTTCCATTTTCTAAAAGAGTCAATTATATATGGATATCCAATTATTCCAGAACCATTTATTGAAGACTATCTTTTTTTCACTTTAATTACCTTTCCACCTCTATCAAAAATTAGCAGACTATATATGTGTGTGTGCACATGCACGCATGCATGTGCACATGTGTCTATTTCTGGATGCTATTCTGTTCCACTGATGTATTTCCCTATGTTTATACCAAATTATACCACCTTAATATTTTAAAATAAGGTTCAAAATCAGACAGCATTAGGATTCTACTTTTGCTGTTCTTTGTCAAAGTTGTTCTGGCTAGATTCTTTGCATTACAATTATTCTGAAATTTCTTATCCAGTCTGACAATCTCTACCTTTTAATTGAAGTTTTAAAATATTTATGTCTGGAGAAGGAAATGGCAACCCGCTCCAGTATCCCTGCCTGGAAAATCCCACAGATGGAGGAGTCTGGTGGTCTAGAGCCCACTGGGTGGCAATGAGTTGGACACTGAGCAACTTTCAGCTCAGAACATTTATATTACATGTAGTTGTAGACATTGTTAGTTATTTTCTATTTGGTTTCATCAAAACTAAAAACGCCTGCTCTTTTAAATATACTGTTATGAGAATAAAAATACAAGTTGTAGATTGGAACCAAAAAAGCATATATCTAGCAAAGGATTTGTATCCAGAAAATATAAACAAGTCTCACAACTTAAAAACAAGAAAATAATCCCATTTAAATTAAATTTTAAAATGGAGGAAGATTTGAACAGACATTTCACCAAAGGAAACACAAATAAGAGGATAACAACAAGCAGAAAAGGTGCTCAACATTATCAGTTATTAAAAGAGAAAATACTCAAGAATAAAAACCCTAGTCAAAGAGCATATTGTATTCAATAATGCCAAAGCAGTTACCAAAATAGTTAGCGATGGATGAGCAGCTCCACAGTCTTGTTAAAACTTGGCATTATTTTAACTTTTCTTTATTCACTAATCAGATGTGTATAAAATGATCTCACTGTGGTTTCCATTTGACTTTCTAGATTACTAATGAATATAAACATCTTTTCATACGTTTACAGACACACCTCTCTCCCTCTTCTGGAACTCCTCCCCCTTGCAGTATCTTCCTTTCACCACTCCAAGTCCATCTCCAGTATTCTCTACCTTGCTCTGTGCTTAAACAGGATGACCTTAATGAACTACATCAAAGGGCTCCTTTCTCCCTAGGTTTTGATGAGTTCAATCCATGGGGAGCATAAGTAGAAAATCACAGGGTGAAAGAAAGGTGCCACTGGCATTCTCCTGACTCTCAGCCTTAGCAGGCTGGTTACTTCTCACTATACCAAAGTACTTTTCTACAATTACATTATTCTCTCCGAGGTCCAGTAACCTTCCCTCCCTCATTTACTTGGGAGTTTAGAAGCAGTAAAGCCTCTCCACTATTGATTGCCATGAGGTGCTTAACCTTTTCTTGGTTTTCCTTGACCTAGATCAGACTGTGATCTGAAGTTTCTTTTTCAAACTCAATTCAATTACACCATTTGAATATGCCATCTGTTTCCTGCCAGGACACTGAATGATATAAAGTGTGTGATTAAAACCCAGTGATGACTCCACAGACATTAAATATAAAAAGTAGCTGGGAGACACAGGGAGTCAAAGTAAACTGAGGAAAGAACGAGGACTTTGGAACCAGATAATGACTTACTGGCTACTGCTGGGTTATCCTAAGCCATTCCCCTCCTCCTTTTCAGGATTTAAAAAAAAAGGGAGAAGAAAAAAAAAGGGAGTATTCACTTTCTTAGCCCCCTTGTAGCTGAAGATGGTTATGTAAGCCATGGTCTAGTCAATAACATGTAAAGATAAAAGGGAATGGGGAAGAATATGCTTCTGATAAAGATTTTCTTACTACGCTTAGACAAGCATTTGCTTGCTCTGAATACAGTCACAATTTCTCAAACAAGAGGCAACAGAACTAAGGACAAAACCAAACCCACCAAGAACAGAACAGAAAGGCAGAAGGACAGCCTCTACACCAACCTTGGAACTGCCTGCTTCTAAGACTTATTATGTGAGATAATCAAATATCTTCACTGGTTAAGCTGATGCTACTCAGAACGGTTGTCCCCCGGGTGTTCACATCATCACATTCTGGAGCATGTTAGAACTGCCAACTTTCAGGTCCTACCCTAGACCTTCCATGTGAAGTCTCAGGGGATGGGGCCTAAGAATGCATATTCAGAAATCCTCAAAGTAATTTTATTTAGGCTAAACTTTGAGAAGTCCTGGCAACTGTCAGTCAGCTATTTCGTTACACACTAGTACACAGTATCAACCTGAACAAGCTATTTAAACATCTAAGCCTGTGTACCACCTCAGCCTTTCTGTGCAGATTCTGTAAGATGTTATGTAAAGCAACAAGCCCAGTATCCAGTACATACAAAACTTCAACAAATGAATCTTATTTTAAACTTTCAAAGGACTATATAGGGATTGCTTTAGTGTTATGTAAATAGTTTACCTATTTACTTTAGTAAATCCTTTAGTAATAGTCATCCTACCTATTTACTTCAGTGATAGTTATCCTCTAGTAATGGGCTGGAAAATTAAACAAACTTATACAGAAAGAAGTCAACTCAATCACTGTTGCAGGGAAATAGAAATCTTTTGCCTTAGATTCCACAGATTTGGACTAAAAATATCTGAAAGTCTTTTACATAGTTCTAAAATTTAGTGATTAAAATACTTAATAATAAATGTTTAAAAATATATTTAATACTACTAAGTAAAGGGGACTTCAATATTACTCAAATAGAAATACTTCGTGTAATCTGCATGGGAAGCTCCAATCCTGTCACATGGTTAGTGAATCAAATCACATTAAAAAAATAAGTAAAAACAGGCGCTCACCTCAAAGTCACACTCTTCTCCCACTGCGTATTTGGTCATGATCTCCAACCAAGCAGTATCCACTAGCTTCTCTAAGGAGGCTGTGTTATGGTGAACCATTTCCAGGACAAGTTTCTCATACCAGGCGGGGAACTCCTCCTTCAAACTAAACAAACAAGTCATCAGTTTCCAAGAAAATGCGGAAAAGACTATCCAGAGAGTTATTCGGGTCAATTGAAAAAGTCCTTTAGCACATACAGGCAAGGCACTGGAAAATACAAAGATTATTCATAGAAGTAAATATAAACACCTCATTTCGTCCTCTGCAGCTGGGCACAAACTATCCTTCAAGTGTCATCTTCTTCATTAAATCTTGTGGAGTTTCCCCCAGCAACTCTAAGTTAGTCTTGCTAACCTCTGAATTCCCACTGTACTTTATTTCTTTGTGTGAAGGACAGCAATTTATTTTCATCAATTCTCTGATCTGTTCCTAACAGTTGTCCACCTGATTGTCTTTGGGTTTTCTAGGTACATCATCATATTACAAGCAACAATAACTGATCTCCCACTTACTACTCTTTATTTGTTGTAGGTTAATGGTTATCATCTTTCATTCAAAGAGAATTTTTACACACCCAAAAAGACATCCAGAAGGTAGCATTATCTCTATTTTGTAAAGAGCAAACTGTAAGTGCTTTTACAGTACAAACAATTGTGCCTAGGCACTGTAACCAATTTCAGCATAAATCAAACATGAGACCTGTGCTCTAGTTTACAGGCTACTACAGGGGTCAGCAACAGCCTATGAGCCAACTCCACCCTGCTACCAGTGATCTTTTTTTGGTAAATAAAATTTTATTGGGACCTAGTCACTCCCATTCAGTTATGGTATTATCAGTAGCTGTTTTCACTGTACAACATCAAAGTTGAATAGCTGAGACAAAGACCATAAGGCCCACAAACCCTAAAATATATTAACTGGCACTTTATAGAAAAGGTAGGCCAACCCTGAGTCTAGTACACTAACAAGGAATAAACATAAATAACACTAATTCACAACGGAACGTCAGTGACCCAAGCAAAGAAACAGGCACCAGGTTAACAGACTTAACTAATTATTAATCAGTGATGGAGCCATCACTGGAACCCAGGTCTCAAGCAAAGATAGTGCTGTTACACAGACAAAAGAGTAGAATGGTATTAATTACTAAACTGTATGCTCTCTGTTTATACACTATTAAGAGAAATCCACAGAAAACACTTCTACTCTGAATTTCCAAAAGGGTATTGTTTTTCTATAATAACTACAAATAGTTGGCTCACTGTCTCTCTCTGTTCGCTGAACCCGTGGTAGGCAAGGTGTGAGCAAGGAAGCCAGAAGAAAACTCATGGAGCCATACGTTTATTCTCTTCGGGTTGGCACAGCCGCCATGAGGCAGCCGTTCTGACCCAGTGAACGTGGCCGTAACGAAGCTGCAAGGGCTTTTCACGTGGAGCTTATATAGGTTTACAGAACAAAAGTGGCCTGCGGCCAAGCAGGTACCCATCGTGATGCGCGTGCGCAGTGCTATAAGCGCCCTCGGCTGTTACACAGCCGCGAATTTACAGACCATGGGGTGAGGGCGAGAGCCCGGCTACTCCCACCCTGGCTACTCTCCCTACACAGAGCATAACCTTTAAAAACTGTGAATCACCACACTGCAACCTGAAACATAGCATACTGTATATCAGCTATATTTCATTTTCCAAGAAAGTTTTTTAATCATCCCTAGTTCCTACTTACCTTTGCAAGCATCTGTTGTCTAAATTCTGAGTATTTTCTTTGAAAGAATACCCAGACAAATACAACCTTTGAGCACAGAATTTTAAGATATCTCATTTAACCATCCCACGCAGGTAAACTATCTTCAAACTGTGTATTTATTTTCAATAGCTGCTATAAATACTGTCTTAAATTTCAAATGACCACAAAATAAAGAAAATCTTCTGCTAATTCGCTGCCTCCGTATTACTTCTAGATTATATCAGCTTCCTTTGCTCAGAACCACATTCCCACAGTATTTATAAGGGAAAAGTAAATGGCAAGAACATTCAAAAGCCTAGTACATACCTAAGTTAAGTGTACGCACAACTGTATATTCCACATACTGTGTTACTCACAAAATGACAACAGGCAAGACACCAGTACATCAATATAAAGCATTCCAATTTACGTGCCATAAACTTAAATACAAATACTGTTTTGTGGTTAGTAGTCCCCTTTTCCTAATAACGTGAAGACAGCATTAAAAGGGCAGTGCTTCTCCTACTTACAGTTCAGCAACTTCCTGTTCCTCCTCCCAGGCCTCCTTGTGTGTGAGCTGACTGCTCCCGGTACTCTTGCACGTCCAGATGCGCTCACTGTATCTTTCCAAGCGGGCTTCATACTCTCTGTGAGCAGTGGCTCAGGAAAACGATACTCAAGCAGCAGAGACAGACTGATCCACAAACTACTTATCATATATGGAAAAAACCACAGTGTCCTTTCTGTAATGCACAGCATGAACTGAAATCAGAGTTTTCAGCCAGCAAATCCAAGCAAGACAATTAACACTATTCACCCAAATTTCACTTCACAAGACTCCCACAGAACTAAGAATTATAAGAAAAAAACTACGGCAAAATAAAACACAAGAGATAAGGAATAAGAATCTAAGGTATGTGAAATTGTTACACAATTCAAATGGTCAGCAAGTTTAAGAATCAGTTGCACAGTAAGATAAAATGGCTACACCAGTTTCCCAGGCAGCTTAGAATAATAACCCTGCGCACATGCTCATGATCCATTTACTAATAACCTTCCAATCTACCTTGGAAACACTTCTTGATTCTCCTGGGTTTAAAAAATAAATACCATAAAATCCTAAAAATAATTCTGACATAGTAGTATGCATCCAGAGTTTACGTTATCTCCAGTAACACCAGGTTCACAAGTTATTTACCAGTAATTAGTCCGTCTTTGTGAGGGAGAGGGAAGAGATCATACAACTAGTGCCGTGTACATGGGAACTTTCCACACCACCGCAACTGGAATTCACTATCAGCCAGTCACATTCAAATTCAAGTGACAGGTAACTAATTTACTTTTATGCACAGCAAAAGATGCTGTGCAGGAAAACTGACACCACAACTAGAGAATTAACTGCCAATCTCTGTACTTTCCAAGTGACAGTTTTTATAATGGTTGAAATAAAAAGTATTTAAACAGCTCCTCTTGTAATATTACTGAACAACTAAACAAATAATTCATTTTTAATATAAAGGAGATTCTTGGTCTTCTAGGGCTATTATGAATTAAAAGAAAAATGACAGGGATAAATCCATAAATAATCCAAAACTGTACTTTTAGTCAATAAATAAGTACCTTCTCTCAATGTATCATTCTCTGGATCTGCCAAAAACAAAACATCTCTTTTTCCTCAGTGGGGTGATGATAATGTTTAAAAGATTAAACTATTAAAATAGAATACCAGTGAAAACCAGGAGTCAGACTTCCACAGAGCCCTATACAAATCCAATTACTGAAAATTTATAAAATCCTATGGTGAAAACGAACTAGCAGGGCTTCCATAGGGACATTAACTAACCAACAAAATGGGTTTGTTTTCTGTTTCTCTATTTGCACCTGGAGAGGGGAGGTAAAATAAAAATCAGTAAGTGGATTTATTTAAACATTCAAAAAGCTTAATAACATTCTAATACATCATTCAGCTATACTGAAGAAATTCACTGCATCATCAGAGAGAATGCGAGATTAACAAATATATCCTAAAGAGGAAGCATTATGCTTTTATTACTGTCACTTTCAAAAGTTGGAATAACGTGTCAAGTCCATTCTCCTCAGACTGAGACCCACATGGCCAATAATACACAGGACTGCTACCACCCAGATGCCTCAGCGACTCCTCGAATCCAGCTTTTTCCAGACTCTCACCACCATCCGCTCGTGCTCAACCGCGCTCTTCGACAGACGTTCCCAACCTCACTGAATGGCCCTGATCAGAACTCAGGGAGTCACCCGACCTCTTGAGGCCGAGCTGTAACCACTTACATACTTCTCAGTTCAGTTCTTTCTCTCCCATAACAGGGCCGTTACCCAAGTCTAGCTTCTGATCCTCCTTTCTCAACCAGTCATAACATTTTAAAACACTTAACTGGCCTCACCGGCAATCGTCTTCTTCTCAGGTCCTTTGTGTTCTCACCCTCACATCCCTTTTCCCCAGTCTTGTTTGCTTTTAAACCCATTTCTTCTGATTTAAAAATCTCACTTGCCCTCAGGCCCCTTGAAATGCAAGTATGTTGCAACGTGAAAAATACTCTGACCCCCCACAGTACTGAAAACCACTCATCAAGATTTTATTGGGTTTTATTTTTTTTATTTTCAGAAGGAAAAAAAAAGAGGAAACTACTTTCAAACAATATATATTTAATAACAAATATTGACTGATTATGGTTTTTCAAATAGAGTAATGAAAGTCCCTTCTACACTGATACAAGTCTTTCCCACCCACCTTTGGAAATCTTTATCAGTACAGCATTCTCGTTCTGGGTGGCCTCATCCACTCCTATTAACTTCAGTTACTATCTATAAATGCTAATAACTTCTATCAGCAGCTCAGTCCCCTCTCTCTGAACTCCAGGCCCATATATAGGTATATACTAGCAACACATACATCTCCATTTGGATAGCCTCAGCAATTCAACATAAGAACGTCCAAACTAAACACTTCATGACTCCACAGTCAAAATAAACAACTGATCCTCTTCTAGGTGAAACCCCACGTCTCAGATTGGGACTCAAACCCAATTACATTGCAGATGGGACTTGAACCCAGTCTCCCTGCTGAAAGTCACACACCTGGTTCTCAGGACTTAATGAAGCTCAGGTTTAGTGTCAGCACAGAAGGAATTCAGCAAGAAGCAAAGCTATAGGCAAGAAGTAGATTTATTAACACAGAACACTTGTGAAGGATGCAAGCAGTCAGGCTCTGCCCTAAGGCCTCAATGGGAAAGCAGGTTTATTTAGGGAGACAGACTCCACAGGCAGAGTGCAGGCCATCTCAGACGGTGAGAGGCCCTAAAACACGGGATGGTTAGTTTTTAATGGGTTGGGTAAATTCATAGGCAGTAGGAGTATTATTCCAACTATTTTGGGGAAGGGGCGGGCATTTCCAAGAATTGGGCCACCACCCACTTTCTTGCCTTTTACAGCTCAGTTTCTAAAAGGTCTTGGTGCCTGTGGGGGTCATTCACCATGTGCGAAAGTATTACAAAGAGTGTATATAATGAGATTCAAGGTTACTGGAAGTCCAGGCTTCTGCCACCTTGGGCCTATTTGGTTCTAACCACTTTATGTCCTCAGGGGATATGGCTTTCTTTTAAGGCTGGGCCCTGCCATCTTCCTTCCGGTATCATAGGGTCCTCTATGTCACAGTCAAAGCTTTGGTTATTCCAATAGTCATGTATGGATGTGAGAGTTGGACTATAAAGAAAGCTGAGCACCAAAGAACTGATGTTTTTGAACTGTGGTGTTGGAAAAGACTGTTCAGAGTCTTGGACTGCAAGGAGAGCAAACCAGTCCACTCTAAAGGAGATCAGTCCTGAATATTCATTGGAAGGACTGATGCTGAAGCAAATCTCCAATACTTTCGCCACCTGATGCAAAGAACTGACTCAATGGAAAAGACCCTGATGCTAGGAAAGACTGAAGGCAGGAGGAGAAGGGGACGAGAGAGGATGAGATGGTTGGATGGCATCACCAACTTGATGGACATGAATTTGAGCAACCTCCAGGAGTTGGTCACGGACAGGGAAGCCTGGTGTGTTGCAGTCCACGGGGTCGCAAAGAGATGGACACGACTGAGTGACTGATGTCACAGGACACCACTAACCAAATGATAACCAAAACATAACCTGACTCCTACTCAATCACCAAATCCTGCCAAATCTACTTATTTCAGAAATTCACAAACTGTACTTCTCTCCACTTCAAGGGCTAGTGAATTTATTCAGACCACTATTATCTAGTGCAGAGATGACTTAATCACTGGTCTAGTTGCCACTGGTCTCGAATGACTTAATCACTGGTCTAGTTGCCACTGGTCTCGAGGCTACAGATCCATTCTTAACCATTCTTAACGCTGCACCCACAGTAATCTTCCTAACCTAAAAGCATGCTTCTTTGCTTTTCACATTCTCTTAACACCCTGCACTAAATTTAAGGCAAAGTCCAAATTCCTCAGTCTATCTCACAGCAACGAGTGATGCAGGCCCATTTGCATATCTCATCACTGCATCTCCATTCCTACCTTCTCACTCCAGCCACATGAAACATTTCAATTTTTCGAAAGCAGGAATTCCCTGGTGGTCCAGCAGTCAGAACTGAGTGAGTTTATTGCCATTTGCCCGGGTTCCACAAGTGCAACAGCACAAAAAAATAAAAATAAATGAAAGGTTTTAACATTTTTTTAATTATTTTTTTTCAAAATCAAGAACCATCAAACTCACAAGCTCTTCAAAAGATGTAGACCTCTTCTTCATCTAACTAAATGTTTTTTTTTTTTTTTTTTTTTTGCTGCGCCACCCGGCCTGTGTAGGATCTTAGTTCCCTGACCAGGGATCGAACCCATGTCCCCTTAAATGGAAGTGCAGCATCTCAACCGCTGGATCTCCAGGGAATTCCTATCTAACTTCTAACCATACTTTAGATCTCAACTTAAAAATAACTTTCCCCAGGAAACATTTCCTTAACCCTAAAATGTGGCAGACAGTAAGTACTATTCTTTCCAAATATCCACTCCCCTCCATTAAGAGGATTCTATCAATACATCACCCACTACCATGTGGCTTGAAATGCCTCCTAGGAAGAGGAAAGTACATCACCCACCCATCACCACCTTGGGTTTGACCACATGACTTGCTTTGACAAATAGATGGAACAGACGCCACCTCCAGGAAGAAGCTTAAAAAGCCATCATGGTTTCCTGTTGTTCTTTCTGCCACCAGAAAAAGATGCTGCAGATAGAGACCGCTCCTTCAGCCTGAATCTTGGAAAATAAGAAAAATGTGCCTTTCCTTCTTTTCACCCATTTTCCTTTTTTTCAAATGTGGCCACTAGAAAAAAATTTAATTACATGTGGCTCGCATCACATTGGGGCTTCCCTTGTAGGTCAGTTGGTAAAAAATCTGCCTACAATGCAGACCCAGGTTCAATTTCCGGGTCAGGAAGATCCCCTGGAGAAGGAAATGGCAACCCACACCAGTATTCTTGCCTGGAGAATCCCACGGACAGAGGAGTCTGGTGTACTAGAGTCCATGGGGTCACAAGAGTCGGACATGACTTAGCGACCAAGCCACCACCACCACATCACACTGGACAGCAGTACAATCCTAGTGCTTACATTTAGGAATGAAGGTCCTCTGACAACACAATTTTTAATTGACTAGTTATTCAAATTAGATTAATTTTAAAAGTTTAAAACTGCAATTTCTACAACAACCCCTAACATGAGGTACTTTTAAGTTTATGTAACTTTTCTGGTTATTCATTTGACTTATGTTTAAAAAAAAAAGCCTATCAGAAAGATATTGAGTCAGCTGCCTCTGAATCCTATTTCAGATTTTAGGTTACCAAAATAAGTCACTCACTCTCAAATAACCCCTCAGGGCAAATGCCAATTGAAGTTTTTATGTTCCAGGACTGCTGTACTTATAATTGCAGACAAAATGTCAAAGCAATTCTCCAAAGGTTGTGTAAGCTATAAACGTAAGCTATAAATGATAAAGATATTTTCAAATCCTAGATTAACTCATTATGTATCTCCCTTTTCAGGAGTTTAAGAGGTACCTCCTTACCACCATATGCAGCTTCTTTGTTCTCCTTAGCCTTTTAAGTATGGTTTCTTTCAATAAAGTACTTGATAGCCTAAAAGGAAGTGGCCCAGAAGAGTATGGAGGTTGAATAAGCATAACTATAACCCTAGGAGTTCTAAGTAAGAAGACAAAGCAGCAACACAAGGTTTGCTTTTTGGCCTATTTTCTCTCTTTGGACAAGCCTGTCATTAAGTTAAAAATAACTCTCATCTGGTAATAACTTGTTACTTTAAAGAAATTAAATTATGAAAATCAGCATACGAGCTCAGTATTCCAACTGTCCAATAAAACCCTGTCTTGCAACTACAATTTAACCCCAGCTCTTAAAATGTTTGTCATGTTTTTCTTGGCAAATTAAGTTATTCTTACCTAGAACCAGAATAACTGTATATTCTAACAGCCTCTCATTATACCATCTAAAACTTCTCATAGTGATGCTCCCAAGGTTATGAGTTAGTTTCTAGGCTTTAGAAACTAGGGTAGTCAAAAAAATACAAAAATAAAATTAATCTACAGCAGGCTGCCGGCAAGTTCAGTTCCTCCGTAAAATCCATCTTGACTTAAACACAGTCAATGCAGACTTCTACTGTCAAACAATCATCACATCACAAAACGATTCTGATGAAGTTAACTTCTCCAGGTAAGATCTAGGCCCTTGCCTGTAGTAGTACTATCCTGGGAAGCAATGTGCCATAGATTTAAAGGTACAGTACAATAATCATCAATATACAACCCAGTCATTAAATGCGTGTGCATTGTTCACGGCTATCACTGTAAGTTTAACGAAGACACAACAATGCCTTAAAGAACACAATGCTCATAGCTTTAAGTCAATAAAATACCATACAAATTTGCTACAGAATATAGATGCAATCTAACGGGAGGAATTAGGAGAAAATTAAAGTATGAAATCCTATTAAAAACATAATTGTAACTATAAACTTAAAACTGAAAAAAACCAACACTTCAAATGCAGCAGTTACCCAACCACATATTCGTTCTCCTCTATGAAATCACTAATAGCCTAATAAAAAAAAATATGCCAACCTGCCAACCACACAGTACAATTGTTTAAAAACCATCCTCAAAGTGCTTCCACTTGTAGAAATTCCCAAGGGAGCAATTTCTCCCCAATAGGTTAACACAATTTAAGAACTCCTTTGTTAAAAGGGTTCTAAAAACTGGTAGGGGAGATTTTAAAGATGAAGAATTTTTATTAAATACACACCACTTTAAAAGTTCCACATATCAGTGTTCAACTGTCATCATTAAAAGAAACACTTCATATATACCATTATATTTCAACAATTTCAGCAAATGATATGAAAAAACCTAGGCTGCCAGTTCTAAGTTAGCTATCTACAGCCATTTTTTTTTTTTTACAGAGCTCAGTTCCTATTAGAGACTCAGAATGGGTCTCCTCCTTATTGCAGTTTCTTATACTTCACTAGAACCAGACGTGAAAATCAACATTCAGTAATATTCGTGTGAATAACCATCAACTGTTCAAAAGACATGTGAAAAGGACACAGTATATTTCCACAAGTAATCTTTTACTTCATTGATGTTTTGGAATGTTATTTAAAAAAAAAAAAAAGGACACTTTTAGAATAATGCTATGTTTGGGAGAGCTGGAGCACTTCTCCAAAACAATCCTCCAAAAGCCCTAATAAGACAAGAAGAACCAGATTACCATTTCAACCTTTCCCTTAAACACACAGCAACTTATACCACGGGCTTCCCAGGTGGCTCAGTGGTAAAGAGCACACTCGCCAATGCAGGAGAGTTCCAACCCTGGGTGGGGAAGATCCCCTGACGCAGGAAATGGCAACCCACTCCAATATTCTGGCTCGGGAAATCCCATGGAGAGAGGAGCCAGGCGGGCTATAGTCCACCGGGTCGCAAAGAGTTGGACATGACTGAACCAATGAGCACACACACATCTTGTGCTACCAGCTGGAACAAACAGTGGATTAACATTATTAAAAGCGAAGGAATAGCATTCCATGTTCCTTCTGTGATCTACTTTCAAGCATGAGGAACCAAGAGCACTGGATTCTCCTCCTGACTCTTACCATTTACAAGTGTGTGATCTCAACTGTCTGGGCCTACCAGGCATACCCAGGCAGGGGAACCCTACCATCTCCAGGATCTAGTTCAGCTCTGAGATGCTCTGGTTGCATTTCTTCGAGTCTTCCTACAAAATGGATTCATTTTCCAAGTCCCTTCCTGCGTGAACATCTAACATCCTCAAACTGCACTGAAACAATCCCATAAAGCACTACATTAAAGGGAGGATCAAAAAGAAATGTAATCAAATGATATGGCTCACACTGGCACTTCCTTCTACACGGAAGCAGACACTGCTGAGAAATCAAGTCCTTCCAAAGGGAAAGCGGTGATAAAGCTAACATAGTAGCCTTCACTCTTGAAGCTTTCTGTACACTAAAGAAAGTTAGATTCAAAAACCTTTTTAACGGTTAAGATTCAAAAAGGATGCATCTGGCATCCATAAAAAAAGAGTGGTACAAGTTTAGCTAAGAGACTTGACAATAAGCTTGACAGCAAGAAACCTTAAGCAATGATTAGGATGCCTCTCATTTAAAACATCAGCCTCGTGTTCCTAAAATACAACATAAAGACTGTAAGTGTGTCTTTGAAAAACGCTGTTTAAAGATAAATCCAGATCTTGTACAGCGTCAGAATTCCAAATCCGTGCAAGTACAGGGATAGAAGGATCGGCTCCTCCAAGGTAACTTTTTTTACTGTCTTTCCTCTAAGTCTGGGAATTCATTCTTGATTTTGAGCCCCACGATCCCGTCAGTTCGTCAGCCTCCAGTCCACTCGGAAGGAGCAAAACACAAATGTCCCCGCAGAGATCCGGGCGGGCGGGGGGACGAACGCAGTCGCGCCTTGTACAACCCGGATCACGAGGCCGCGCAAGTACGATTTCCCAAAACTTAAGTAGAAGGTTTAATTTTAAAAGAAAAAAGCAGCAGCAAAGGAAACCCCACTCATCCCCGGTACTTAGGGCCTAAAGCCAACCCCCCGCTGGGAGTGGGAAGGAGGGTCGCTCCTCCATAACGAGGCCCGGGGACAAAGTGCGGAGCAGGGGGAAGGATGGAGGGCGCAAGGCTCGGAGGCGGCCTGAGCCCAGCCGGCCGGTTGGCCCGCCCGCACACCCCCACCCCACCCCACCCCACCAGCCCCGGATCGGCGGGCCCGGGGCTCGGGCTCCGGGTGCAGGCCCGCCGGCGCCGGGCTGGCTGACAGCTGCCACCGGCGCGGGGCTGCGCGGCCCACCTCGCCCCACCCCACCCCGCGGGCGGCCTGGCCGGCGCTGCTGGAAAAGGATACTCCCGGGTGCGGAAGGCCTCCTGAGTGTGCGCGATCGTGAAGAGCGGCTCTTCGCCGGGAAGCGGCTTCACCAGGGGGAAGGGCTTGCGGCCCAGGAGCGGCGCCATCGCGGCGGCGGCAGCGGGGAAGGCGACGGCTCCTCAGTGGACCCGCGGCGCAACACTAGGCCCCGCGGCCCGGAGCGAGCGCCTGGCTCCCGGGGGTGGGGTGGGGGAGGGGAGGGGTGAGAGGGCGGCGCGAACTCGGCTCCTTCACTGCTGGCGCCGCTGCGCTAGAGCCATGGAACGGGACCCACGGGCAGAGAACTCCCTCGCACACTTCTGCGCCGTCCCGAAGCCTCCGGCCAACCTTCGCTACGGGTCCTCACGTTCGGCAGTCACGACTCGTCCTCAGCTGCACCGGAGGAAATTATTGAAAAATGGCGGGAGATTCCCCTCCACCCCCCCGCCCGGCCAGCGCGCACACTAACTTGCTCCCCTGTGGCGCCGGTGGCGAATGCTCCAATAGGCGGAGAACTGGTCAGCACCCAGAATCTATTGGTTCAGAGGAGCTGCCGCTCTGCGGTTGGGTTCCGCCCCCTTCCCGGGCCGCCTAGTTGGGTTGCAGCGCACTAGAGGGCAGTATGAAGAGGTGAAAGGTCACGTTATGTAAGCGCCAGTGACAGACGCGCGGGCCTCCGGCGGCGGAGTTTAAAGTGGGGAAAAACGGGGAACCGAAAGGCCGGGAACTCAGAGAGGTCAGGCCAGAGAAGCCCTCTAACATGTACTGACTCTGCGCCATCTGTCACCGAAGGCGACACCGACATCCGGGCACCACTGTCCGTATGGTGCGCCGGAGGGGGAGGGGGAGCGCGCGGCCAGGGGCTTTGTCTTTCCACTCGGGCTCCGCCCCCTTCTTAAAGGCACCGCGCTCGGCCACGCCCGGAGATGCCCGGGTGGGGAGCGCGGAAGGAGGAGTTGGCGGGAAGTAACCCGGAGACTATCGGCGTAGGTTCTGCTGAGAGGTAACTTGCGGTTCAGGTTGGGTTCCCCTAAAGTTAACTTCTAGACGAGAGTGGGGTATTAGTATAATGCTTGCTTATAGGGGTTTGCTGGAAAGGATAATATAGAAGCTTCGTTGGAAAAATATATTAAAGGACATGTCTATTAAAGATAAATTCATTCACTCATATAGTCTTTTCTAGCACTTAAAATGTTCAGGGCCCTACGTGGGGTGCAACAGGGGAAGAAAATAAGACAGCGACTACTGCTCTGAAAAGAATAAGAGATAATCACCGTTCTATGTGATGAATGCTATGCATAGGGTGCAGTAGGGAAACAACCGTGCCTGGAGTGAGAACGTTTGAGTTACTTCTCTAAGTAGACTACAGTCACTCAAAATCTGTTTGCCCATCCAGTACAGTCAGAAACACGCTTATTAATCATTCATCCCTATTAAATTGTTTTGTTTGTTGTTGTTAAATCGCTAAGTTGTATCAGACTCTTTGTGACCCCCTGGACTGCAGCACACCAGGCTCCCCTGTCCTTCACAATCTTCCAGGAGTTTGCTCAGATTCATGTCTATTGAGTCGGTGATGCTACCTAATCATATCATCCTCTGTCATCCCCTTCTCCTCCTGGCCTTAATCTTTCCCAGCATCAGGGTCTTTTCCAATGAGCTGGCTCTTCCCATTAGGGGGCCAAAGTATTAGAGCATCAGTTTCAGCATCAGTCCTTCCAATGAATATTCAGGATTGAAATCTGGTTTGATCTTGCAGTCCTAGGGACTCCCAAGAATCTTGTTTACTGCCTTGGTTCAAAAATCTGCCGTGGCCCAAGAACATCTTTCCGGCCTAGGTGTCCCTGAATGGCAGCATGCTAATGCCAGACCTTCTCTGTTCTTCTCACCTTAAAGTGAGAAGGATCATTGCCAGTAAAAGGTGGGTTCTCATTTTTCAACTGAAAAATGCACAACCTAAAAGTTGTGAATTATGTTTTATTTGGCAGACAAAACCAAGGACTTAAGCCCGGGTAACAGCATCTCAGACTGTCTGAGAGACTGCTCAGAAGTAAGGGAGGAGCCAGGATACGTAGGAGTTTTTGCAACCAAAGCCATGTAGTCAGAACACCAAAAGATTACTGGGATTTTTGTTTGTTTTTTTAAATGTTTATTTGGCTGTGCTAGGTCTTAGATGCCACATGCAGGCTCTTTAGTTGTGGCATGCAAATTCTTAGTTGAAACATGTGGAATCTAGTTCCCTGATCTGGGATCAAACCCAGGCCTCCTGCTTTGAGAGCAAGGAGTCTTAGCCACTGGACCACCAGGGAAGTCAAGAAAGATTACTATTAAAAGAAAACCAAGTATCTCAAGTTGAGGAATTTAGTGCTTCCCTATATATGGGAAGATGCAAAAGTTTCAGCTCATTGAAATCTTTCCTTTGATATATGCACCTCAACTATCTACAGCCAGTATCCTGTGCTTTTTCATCCTGAGTTTCCTGGGGAGGGGTGGGGAGGGTGGACCTAGATGGCAGGCATCCTGTTTCTATCCCAAGTTCCCTTCCTTCGGCCAATGAAAGTTGATGGCTTGATGCCTTCAACATCTTTGTTTACTGATATGGCAGGCAACATTTTTTTTCCCCCACTGATCTAGGTCAGACGTCAGCTCTATGAAGCCCCTTCAAACCATCTAGCAGCAAAGAGAGCTCATCTCCCTTCAGTAGCCATTTCTCCTAAGAGGATTAGGAGAAACCTCAGAGGCTGTGGCATTTGAGCTGATTGTGAAGAGATGAAGTTGCAGCTTGCTAGGCAGAGAGAAAAGAGGGATGGACATCCTTCCTAGGCAGGAGGAGCAGCAGACCAGACATGGTAAATTCAGGGCCTAATCATAGGGATCTCCAGGCAGAAAGTATCAAGAGAGGAGAATGGCAAAGGGAAGTTCTCTTTCTGCCACAGCGTGTGAGGGTTGAATGGGAGTGACCACGTGGAAGGTAATGGCAGGAGCTTGTGGCGGTGATAGGGGCATCAAATGGTCAGCAAGGTCGGTGAAGACAAGTAGCCGGACTTGAGAGGCACAGACAAGATGACTAATGGGATGGATGCTTGCAGGACTAGACACCTAATGGCAGACTACATGCAGAGTGAAAACTCCAAAAACATTGGGGGGAAAAGATGGGGGGCCATTTTTGGTATTTCCAAAAACACACCCAGTTGCACATCAGAAAAGGCACTGTAGTCATTCCAGCACTTGTGGCCGCTGTGGACCAGAACCCAGCCCTGGTGTTGGTAAAGCAGAGATCTAAAATGGGAGACTCGGGGATGGGCTCGGGCTCAGCCCTAAGAACTAGAGGTACCCTGGAGGCCATCAAGAACAGCTGGAAATCCTGCAGATGGAAGTGGAAACTAGAGGTGGGGCTTTATGAATAGAGAATATCAGCTGCAGCTCCATGAAAAGGAGCTGAGAAGTGGCTCTCCAAATAAAGAACAGTGCTTACCTTGGAGATGGGAGTTATGGGTTGTTGTTGTTTTTCTTTCATTATATTTTCATGTATTTTTCCAGTATGTTTTTCTATAGTGATATTTTCATTTTAAAATAGAAAAAATAATAAGCTTTAATGTGACTGTTGCTTAGCAGTTTTCCTCCATTTCTATGGCTCCAGTTTAACACCCATCTTTCACTGATATAGACCTACACCCTTGACTAGACAGTTTCAGCTTGTTTTTTTTTTTCATTGTGCCATGCAACTTAAGAGGATATAGTTCCCTAACCTGGGATCAAACCTATGTGCCCTGTAGTGGAAGTCTGGAATCCTAACAACTGGATGGCGAGGGAAGTCCCTACAGTTTCAGCTTCTGGCTGGTCTTTTCCGGCCTGTCCTGTTGGTTCCTAAACCTCAGAAGGTCCCAAATCCACTTCTGTTATTTCCCTTCCCTCCATCACCTTGGGGGAGGGGCAAGTAGGAAGTGAGGGCTTAAGGAGTACGGGTTTCTGCTTGAGGCAATGAAAATGTTTGCAGCTGTATAGTGGTAATGATTGTGCAATGCTGTGAATGCATTTAGTGCCACCGAACTGTGTACTTTAAAATGGTTAGGAGAAGGCAACAGCACCCCACTCCAGTACTCTTCCCTGGAAAATCCCATGGACAGAAGAGCCTGGTGGGCTGCAGTCCATGGGGTCGCGAAGAGTCGGACATGACTGAGTGACTTCACTTTCACTTTTCACTTTCATGCATTGGAGAAGGCAGTGGCAACCTACTCCAGTGTTCTTGCCTGGAGAATCCCAGGGACGGTGGAGCCTGGTGGGCTGCAGTCTATGGGGTCGCACAGAGTCGGACACGAATGAGGCAACTTAGCAGCAGCAGCAGCAGCCAATATAAGCCTCAGTATTTTTTAAACTCTCCAGGTGAATCCAATATTCAGCCAACTTTGAGAATCAGTGCCCTAAATACTTTGTATAAATAAAATGTCAAACTGGAAAAAAAAATAAAATGGTAAATTTTATGGTTGTGTATTTTACGATAATAAAAAGTTAAAAGAAAAACTTAAGAGTCAGCCACCTAAGGACCTGGAGCTGTGGGAAATACATCCCATGTACACAGGGTTGTATTCGGCGTACACAGGGGCAGAAGTATAACTCAAAGGACGTGACAACCTCAGAGTCTCCAAATCATTGTCACCGAAGTCACTCTATGGGAGTCAAAGACAACTGGCAGGGCCCAGCCCGCAGTGACTTCACAAGCATTCAGCCACCATCACCGCCAGCCCCTGCCCCCACAACCCTCAAGAATGAAGCACTCAGCTGCCAACAAGACATATTTCAAATAGTTTAATTTTAAAAATATTCTATTCAGTGCTAAAATATGTCTTCACTCACTGTTGTCCATTTCCATTTTCTTAAACTTTTTTGAAACAAAAAATAAAATCACAAGGTTTGATGAAACATGCAGATTTCAAAGAAAAGGAAACTTTCTAGAAAGTCTGGGCTGAAGAAGTACTGTGGGGATGAGTACTGTCAGAACCTCAAATTCTCGCTGGGACAGAGTCTGCGGCAGGAGAGCTGGGAACCATGGCAGGAGGCAGGGGGATACTGGAATGAAATGTCCAGGTGGAAACAACTGTGAGTATGTGCGCGTATGTGTGTTGGGGGAAGGGGGTGGTTACAGTGGGGGGACAAAGGACTGTCAACAGCCAGAGAGCCCATGAGAGGCAGGATGGCCTCAGGAATGGGTACAAGTGCCAGGACAGCATGAAGTCTAGGTGGGACTTTTCTGCCGTCGTGTGGAGTTAAGCCCTTCCCTTCCCTCCAGAGTCTACTCAGGCATTCTCCAACAGCAGCCTATAGGGTCCCTAGCCCTATGGGCAAGTCCATGAATATACAGTCTCCATTCAAGTTCAAGTAAGCCCTCGGCACGCTCTTCTCTGGAGGGTGCCTTCCCCCTCTCTTTCCTCTTGCAGAGGCACCAGCAGCTCAGTCCAGAGGCTGTGGAGCACAGACTGCTACTGGAGGTGACAGATGATCCTGGAGTGGCCGAGGCGCCAGCCTCCTTGGGGTGCAGAGGACAGGAGTGCTCCTCTTCTCAGGGTCAGGCAGACAGAGGTGCCAGGGATGGGAAGATGATGCTACGACCCCAGGTCCCGCGTCCACCTTCCAGCCCAGAAGGCTCTGAGGTGCAGGCTCTGGACCTCGGTGCTCGCCCTTACCCCAGCAACACAGCACAGCCAGAACCAGAATGCAATAAATAGAGGCATGGGGCCTGGAGGCGAAGGGCGCCAGGGTGGTGCTAGCTTTCTGACGCTGTCTGCGGCACTGCAGGCTGGTCCATACAGAAGCGTTTCAGGGGAGGGGCACTTGAGTCTTCCTCTTCCTCAGCAATCTAGACGTAGCCAGAGCACGGAATGACAGGGCCATCCCTCTGAAGCAGGCCTCCCCTTCGACCCTAACTGTCTCACCCAACTGTCTCACCAATCACAGGACCTCTTCCCTACCTCCTGACCTTCTAACCTTCCCCAACCTTCTAACCAGCATCCCTCACTGCCTCCCCACCCCCACTACATCCCTCCCATGCTAGAGAGCCAGTGCACATCAACAGAGCCCTGACATTTTCCTTAGAAACCAGGAAACCCAAAGCACCTCCTTACCTGTGTCTCTAGAGGAACTGGTTCTTCCTTCGTGAGGGTCGGAGGTTCATCAGCAACTTCCGAGGCAGGCAGGGAGGGCTCTGAAAAAGCAAGATCAGTGTAACTGCAGGGCCTGCTGGGACAGGAGAGCCCCCAGGCTGGGGAAGTGTTCCTAGGAGGCGCCTTGGTGAAGGGGTATCCACTGGTTATAGAATCAACATACATTCTAAGAAGAAATTTGCAGAATCCAGTACAAAGGGCACTAACTACGAAGTCAGAAGGAATGAAACAAATCAGGCAGTTCCACCAAATGTGGGATCGTGGCCAAGCAACTGAACTTTTTAAGACAACTTCCTCATTGATAAAATGGAGACAACAGTTGCTATTCCATGGGCTTTTCGAAAGGAGAATCATGTTTGCTGTTTTAGTCACTAAGTCATGTCCAACTCTTTTGTGACCCCATGGAATGTAGCCTGCCAGGCTCCTCTGTGGGATTTCCCAGCAAGAATACTAGAGTGGGTTGCCATTTCCTTCTCCAGGGTATCTTCCCAACCTAGGGATCGAGCCCGCATCTCTTGCACTACAGGCAGATTCTTTACTGCTGAGCCACCAGGGAAACCCGAGAATCAAACCAGGCCTCAAATATGAAAAGTGCCTTCCTTGCGGAGAGCCTGGCACTCAGTCGTGTCGCTGTTTCTTTCCATCATTCTGTGAAAGGGGAAAATACAACCATTCCCCAAAAGAGCCTCAAACAACTGACAAACAGCTTGAAGTTGCCAGTTCTGAGGCACCATCTCTATCCTGTGACTCTAAAGAAGAAAACCATCGAGAGCAAGAGCATGGCCCCTCCAAGACACACGTCCTGGGCCAGGGAGACTCACCCTCAAGGATCTCCTGGCCCAGCGTGGGGGGCTGGGAGTCGTCTGTGCGGAAGTCAGAGGTGTGCGCAGGGCTCAAGGACTCGCTCTGCTGGGGGCTGGGGCTCGAGTTGGTGCTACTGTCCACCTTGAGCTGGTAGACATCAGACACGGAGCTCTGGTTGCTGTTTTCATCTGAAAATCACACACGACAAAGGCAACAGCTGAGGCCAGTCACGCTCGAGGGGGCTCAGTACAGAGCCAAGGGCCTGGGGTCTCTGCAGACAGTGTGGACACAGCTGGGCACACACCGATCACAGCTGCAAACAGCCCCTGAACCAAGGGCAGACATGCCCAGGGCTTTTGCACATCGCAAATTACCAACAGAATCTAAATTGATGAATTTAAGCACATGTTATTTTATGACATATATCCGAAGCACCACCAGATGCAGCCAGAATCTTTAAGTTTATGCAAAATTTATATGTCAGAGAGGTCAATATAAACATATGAGTCCCTTCTTTAGTATCCACTAATTATAGCTGGGACCTAGTATTTTCTCACTATCCAGTGAATGGAAGGACATGGCTCTGCCTCTCAACCTTTCTCACAAGTGGTGTAGAAAATGACAGTCTGCCTGCCATTCTCAGCTATCTGAAGGAGGGTGACGGGGTCTGGAGATGGTCGGCTCAGGCCTTGCACCTGCCCAGGCTCTGCCTCACTGCCTCACGGACCACTGGATCCCACCTGGGAAGCGCTGTTGAAGGCTTAACATCACCAGCTAAGTTAAAAACCGACTCAACAATTCCTTCCTCTCCCCCACCTCCAGCAGCCAGTCACCAAACTGTACCTGTCCTACTGCTCTGATGCCATGTGTATCCACTCCTTCCTCCTCCACTGCCTCAGTGCAGGCCTGGCCTCTGGCAACAGCCATCCAGCTGCCCTTCCTTGGGTCTCAGCCACACCCGGCGACCTCACACCACGGCCAGAGTAAACTTTCTAAACCCTTCTGTGGTTCCCTGCTGCCCACTAGAGGGCCCTATCACATCCTACACACTGCTCTCCAGGCCCACTGCCAGCCCTTCTTCCTACGTACCCTTGGCTCCAGCCAGGTCGGACCCAAACCTCAGAGCAGCTACCAGCACCATGTCTGGTATGATGTGCTCCTTCCCATCTTCCTGCAAAGCCCCTACACCTGGCAGCCGGCAGCTCAGGCATCCTCTCCTCTGCAGAGCCCTATGTCCCAGGCTCCCCTGGGTGGTGACGACCACCCCCTCTCATGCCCCTGCTGCTTCCTGCGCACACCTGCATTTACTGTATTCACACCGGTCTCCCTCCAGGACACCCAGTGCAGGTAGCCTCTGTGGCCCACAGAGGCCCTTTGCGTCTCCAGCACAGTACATGGTACCCGGCACCCGGGAGGAGCGCATTAAAGGTTCACTGCGTGGAAAGGATGAGACGGTGGCCAGGCTGAAGAAACGGAGCCTCCCATGTCCCCCGAGCTTTATGCTGCGGGGACAGCTCACGCAGCTGGAGAGCTGTCCCCCCTTCTGTACCGCACCAACCTCGGGGTTAGGGGAGAGGGAAGGAGGGGATACCTGGTCGTTCTCAGTCTAGCTCCAAAGAGAAAATCTTAAGCCTTTTCTAGTCTTCATCCTACAATGATCACTATCTTCTACACTAAAATGGAAGTAACATTTTATTATACAAAATAATAAAGTCCTGTCACTCTTCAGCTTAGGTAGATACTTTTCTTCTCCAAGTATCAGTTTCCTTAAATTGGGATGATGGTAACTGCCTGGTTTGTATCCCAGGCTGATGCAAGGGTAAAAAGGAGACACTGAAGTGAAAGTGCTTCATAAGCAGTAACTACCACACAGGTATAAAAGGTAAAGTTCTCAGTGCAGTGCTGACTCCGGCCAGACGTCTACCAAAGACTGGTTTAGGAGGCAGAACTTGGACAAACTGTAGACAAACAAGCAGATGCCCCAGCCTGGGTTGGGGGCGGGGTGGGGTGGGGCATGGCCCTCTGAAGTGCTCTCATCAAACACACAGTCTAAAGAAAAGAGCTTCTGATCCAGAAAACCAGGACCTACCATGGGTCCTCACTTACGAGTGACTAACTTTAGATACGTAACCTCACGTCCCTGAGCCTCAGTTTCCTTAACTGGAAAGTGAGGAGACTGTTGTCTGTCTTGCAAGGTTACTGTGAAGTTGAAATGCAAAGACTTCTGTCAGGTACCCAGCAAGATACCAGCAAAACCGTGGGCACTGAAATGACACACAGACTAGTCTTCGGATTATTGATGGGTCATTTAAATGTTCATTTTCCTGCAAGGAAGACATAAGGATGCAACTCACCCTGGAATTCAAGAAGGAGAGAGGAATTGGCTGAGGCATCAGAGGGAAAGCCATTAGGTTCCCGGGCTGCGGAACTGTTCGATTTTGACTTTTCTTTCTAGAAAAGGAAAAAAAGAGGAATATGACAGAGCCAAGCAGAAGACTCACAGAGAGAGAGAGAGAAGGTGCTGAGACACCACAGAGGTCTGGATTAGGAACATGAGGAACAACAGTGGTTTCAGGACCCAAGAAATAACAGGATCCTGGACAAGGTGTTCCCAGGCCTCTGGCTCTATCAGTAAAATGGACCCTTCCCACTTTAATCTCATGACTCACAAGAGACAGGCAGCTATATACATCTGCTTCCACTGGAGTTCTCTGTGGGACCCTCCTGCTTTCTGCCCTCATCAGAATGCTCTGCCCGATCCTTCCCTACATGGATGGGTAAGAATTACAAAATACTCATTTGAGAAAGATCCCTGTTTCAGGAGCACAGCTAGGGGTAAAAAGTAAAAGAAGAAAGGCCCTTTGACTGGACAAAGGAAGGAGTCACTTGATATGTAATGTGAGCAGGGACAGGACAAGGGGTCCCTACAAGCTCTACTCCTGACCTATCTACCCCATCCACTCAGTGACCTCCCATGTCCACCTCTGCCTTCAAGCAGATGCAAGTCACATGGGTAGGGGAACCACAGTGGAAGGTAAGCACTAGCTTGCAACACACCAGCCCACAGGAAAGGCAATCACCAACCCAAGCATTTGCAAATGAGAGCATCCTCACAGCTGGAATTTCAAATCTGGACAATCCCAAACTTACTAATCCATACTTCACATACCTGTCACTCTATTGTACATGCACTGTACTAGTAACACAGCTTAGTTTTTGTGAATACTCTCAATCCTAACTCAGCAATAAGTCAACTGTACATATATGTGTATATAGTCCTTTCCTTCATGTTTTATATGCAGACATAATTTTACTGCAATTACTCTTTACCATTTAACTACAGAGGCTACCTAAATATGATTTTTACTGGCTGCATAATATTCCAGGTATCATACTCATTCAATCACTACTCAACTAGTGGACATTTAGCTTTACCTTATTTAAGACTGTGTTTGTTTAGTACTAGTAGAAATAAATCTACAATGCTTAACTTTTATTTTTTCCTGGATTATTTCGCTAAATTCACACCAAAAAAAAAAAAAAAAATCCCTTCTAGATCAGAAAGTAAAAACATATTTCTCTTAAAATACCCTGTGCCTCCCTACTCTCTACCAGAAGGTTGGCAATACATTTGGAGTATGAGCATCACAGCACCCATGCCAACTTTTGGTGTTACTGTTATTTTTTCCTGATCTCTCATTAGTTCAATGATTCTATGCTCAGGTAAAATATGCATTCACCATAAGAATTCTGAAAATACAGGAAAAGAAATGAAAATCACCTGCACAACCAGAGAAACCCGAAACATATAATTGTATCGAAATGGACCATGATTCAGTATTATAACTTGCTCCCCCTCAACTCATCAAAAACATTTTCCTATGCCATTGAGTAGTTTTTTAGACCATCTTTTACAAGGGTAACAAAGCTGTACAATATGCGGGTGCACAATAACAATTCTTTACAGCTAAGCTCTTCATCTTGCTTGCAATTTTTAAATACCATGAACAATACTGCAGCACTCAACACAGATGTCACTTGTACACATCATGATTATGTCCAGAGAATAAGTGTCTAGAGCTAAAACTTCTAGATCAAAGGCATAAATATTTTGAAGGCTCCCACACACACACACCCTCAGCTTTACTGAGGTATAACTGACAAATAAAATGGTACAATATTTAAAGTACATCCTGGAGTGATTTGATATGTGTATATATTGTGAAAGGATTCCCAACATCTGGTTAATTAAGCTTTTAAGTATATATATATGATCAACCTGTAGAAAGTTTGTCCCAGTTTATTCTCCCATCAGCAATGTCCCACTCCCTTACATCCTTCACTTATTCTTCTTTACCAATTTGATCATTTTCTATTTTTCCTAACCTAATAGGTCTATGCTAGTACCTTCGAAGCTGGCACACTACCACAGACCACTGGAAGGTAGATAAACCAATGGACCTCAGGGTCCAGCTCAAAAACCAATACAAACACTGTGAGAAGTCCTTCGGAGAGACAAAGGGAGCTGAGTCCTAAGCAAGGAGAACTTGAAATAGCAAAGGGGGATGTCCCCCGGGTCCAGTGGTTAAGATTCTGCACTTCCTATGCAGGAGGGGCAAATGTGATCTCTGGTTGAGGAAGTGAGATCCCATATGCCGCATGGCACAAGCAAAGGAAAAAAAAGAAATAGGAAAGGGTCAGGGGCTTCTATGTGAGAAATGGGGAACCTCCCCTCTTTGGCCTTTATGGTATTGGCATCACCAGAGCCAAGGTTAGATGAGAAACAAAGGGTGGCCCCAGAGCCCCTCACTTTCACCCACCGGCTCCACGGACTTGGCAAGGATGGCTGCTTGCAGATAAAGGCAGCATGTGGACACCAGTACAGCTCCCTGGGAGACAGCAGAAGATGAGAGAGGGGAAAAGGGAAAGGCTGAACCCCGAGGCTAATCCCATCTCCTCAGCTATAGAGGAGAAAGCACGGAGCTCAGGCTCACAGTCTCCCCTCAGTTACACGTTTCTAGCTAACACAGCTCAAAGTTGAAAGGAATAAAAGATGAGCGCACAGAGAAAACCAACCAGACACTGGAGAACAAGTACCATGAGAGACGATTAACAGAGCAAGCTGTACCAGGAACAGTGCACCGACGGGACATGAGAACTTCAATAAAACATGGCAGGTCTCCTCAGAAAGACAAGGATGACACGGGAAAGTTGTTCTGAACCACCGCCAAGGATACTTGGTATAAGCAATGAAACTGTTCAAAGAAAAAATTAGGTGAATGAGTCTATTAACAGAAATAGGTAAGAGCTGAAGAAAAGATTAATGAGCAAAAACTGAATGAAGAAGTCAGAATATACAAAGAAAGGATAAAGAGATGAAACAAACTAAAAATTAAGAAATGAAGCTAGATGTCATCATTACAGGATATTGCATTTAAAGAGTTCCCTGGTGGCCCAGTGGTTAGGATTCCAGGCTCCCAGTGCTTTGACCAGGGTTCAATCCCTGGCCAGGCAACTGAGATCCCACAAGCCACATGGTGTGGCCAAAAAAAAAGATGAAATTCCATTCAAAACGAAGGACAGAGTAGGGATGAAAGGGTGTGTGTGTGAACACAACATGAAAGGTGAGCTGTTTTATTTAGGGTAAAATGAGGATTGCAGCCCAAGAGAGGGCACCTCAGATAGCTCTGAGGAACTGCTCCAGAAAAGGGTGTGTGTGTGGGGGGGTGGGGGGGGTGATGAAGACCAGAGGCTCAGAGGAAAAATACAGATTTTGATAAGCTTTATACATTGACATGGAAAAATAGTGTAAGTCTTATTAGGTTGGAAGTTGCCAATAAAAAGATTAAAAATAGAATGTAGAACTTCCAGATCAGCAGAAGAAAATGTGTCTAGTCATCATGAGGTGAAGAGGAAAAAAATAAAAGGAAAGTGTATTATAACTGAAATCCTTGTCCATAAAAATATAATTTTTAGGCAGTCACACCTTCCCAGCCTTTCTGGCACCCAGACGTGCCACAGCTACTATGAACACTTAGTATACATGTCTTAGGGAGACTTTTGGGAAACTCCTTACATTCATGAAAACACTATTTGCTAACCCTCCACTCTCTTACTGCCTTGAACTTGAATGTGCTGAATGATGGCTGGAGCTCAAACTTGGAATATAAGGTCAAACATGAACAGAGGAATGGGGAATTATTTAATGCGTACAGAGTTTTTTTACTTCTGCAAGATGAAGAGTTTCAGAGATGGGTTACACAAGGTGAACGCACTCAACACTACTGAACTGTACACGCTGAAGTGGTTAAGATGGTAAACTTCATGATATGTATATTTTACCACAACAGAAACGTAAAATGAATAGAACCATTACTCTCTTAAAAGTAAATTTAAAAACAAAAGGAATAGAGAGGGTGCCAGAAACCTGGGTCCATGGGGACTCTTAGAACAAAATTACCACACCAGTCCTGGACTGCATACTTCTGTTTCTCTAAGAATAAAACAACTGCTTTAAACTACTGCTATTTTGAGTTTTCCGTCACCCACAGCTAAACCTAATCCTAATATGCCCAATAAGCAGAAAAATGTAAAACGGGAGAAACAGCATTACAAGACATACCAGGCAAATACAAATCAAAAGAAGATGGGATATAAAGTTAGTATCAGTTAAAAGAGAATTTGAGGTGAGAAAGGGACAAAGAAGGACATTACATACTGGAAAAGGACGAATAGGTCATGATGAGGTAAGAATCATAAACATACATGGATCAAAAATAGAGCTTCAAAGTACAAAGGATAACTGACTCAGACCATGAAGAAGCAAACAAACCAACAATTTCACACACTCTTCTCAGAAACATACAGAGCAAACCATACAAAGATGAGCAAAGATACAGATTTGGATAACATAACAAATCAAAAATTGTTTAATTTCATATTGAGAGTATATATCTGTTTTAATTATAAGTGAACTGTCCACAATTCAATTATAGATCAGGTCACAAAAAATGTCCCAGTAAGCCCAAAGAACAAATACCCTATCAATTCCATAGAATCAGCACACCAATTTTAAAAGGACAACTTTCAAAAATCTCACATATCTAAAAACTAAATTATCATTCTATTAAATAACCTTTGGGTTAAAGAGGAAACCAAAGAGAAACCTATGAAAATCTTACAGTTAGACGACACCATCAATGATATCCTGATACTCATGGATGTCCAAATCTGTGGGCGATAACTACAGAAGTGAAATGGACTACAAAAAAAAAAAAAGCAAAGAAAAACTAGAAAAAAACATGTTAAGTGTTCAACACAAGAAGTGGAAAAAACAGAATAAAACAAAGGAAAATAACAAGGGCAAAAATTAATCAAATAGAGAAGAAAGCAAAATGAAAAGAAAGATGAACAAAAATTGCATAATGACTCTTTTAATAAAGATTTTAGGACCATTTTACATGGAAAAAACATAAATAACAAATGCAAAAAAGACAAAATAATTACCAACAGAGACTTTAAAGTACAAAAGGATATTATAAATGACTACACAGCAGTACACATGAAAACAGAACAGTGTTCATCAGCAGGATACTGCTGGCCTTCTGGACAGGCTGATTAAGTCTTCACTGCATAGGACTGACTCATGTATTGCCAAAAGCTTAGCATGGCTGGCCAAACAGTGCCTTGCCTCATTTCTAAACGCTCTTGGGGAAGTGGGTAAGGGTGAAGACTCAGCACTGTCCCCCACTAAAGAAACAATCCCCTACTTGAAATGGAAACGTTTTTTAGAAAAGACACAAAAAAGCAAAATAAGTAGTACAGAAAAAGGGAAAACCTAAATACATCAATCACCAGGAGAGCCACTGTAAAGATAATCAACACCTCTCTCGCCACCAAAGACCCAGAAGGTACTAAAGGTAGATCCTTCATTTTATGCAAGTTGTTCTAGAAATCAAAAGAGGGGAATCTGCCTAATTTGTTTTAGAATGCTGGTGTAAACAAGGTAAAGAGAGCATAAAGAAAGAGTATTACAAACCAGTTTACAAACCAGATGCAAATACCTCAATTATTTGTGCATTGAATGTAACATTAAAAAGGAAAAAAAGAAGAAAGGCATGTCCAAGTAGAATTTGTCTTAAGAAGGCAAGAATGGTTCAAACATCAGAAATTCGTCATTTTAATAGATTAAAGGACGAAAGTCCCATGAACATTTAAGTAGATGCAGGAAAAGCAGCTGGATTAAGTCCAAATTATCTATTCATAATTTTTAATAAGCCTTAGAAAGCTAAAGAAAGAAGGAATTTATCATTCTGGTAAAGACTATCTTTCCAAAAACCTACAAGAGAGAAAACTCACCCTACTTAACATGAAGACACACTAAAAGCATAGTAAATAAATCTAGCGCAGAAACAGATAAAATAACAACAAAAAAATGGAAAGCTCAAAAACAAAAACATGTGAATACAGCATACAATAGGAACGACATCACATACCAGTGGAGAAGGACAGATTATGGAGTGACCAGTATTAGGGGTAGTGGCTCACTATATGAAGGAAAATTAAAATTAGATTCTTGTCTTCACCATTTAAAAAAAAAAAAAAAACCTACATGGATTAAAGGTCTAAAAATGAAAGTTAAAATTAAAAAGCTAGCAGAAGATGCAGAAGTCCTCTATAACCAGGAAATGGAGAATAATTTTGAAACATCACCCTGGAAATAAAAATCATAAGGAAAAAGTTAACTTGACAGAAAAAAATTAAAGGCTATTACTGACAAAGTTACCATATGTGACATGTTAGACAAAGACAACTGCCATGTACAAAACTAATGAGTTTGCTGTATCTATAACATAAAAGAATCCATGCAAATCAGGAAAGTAAAGACAGGAAGTCCAATATAAGAATAACAAAAACTTAAGAAATCAGAGGGGAATTCCCTGGTGGTCCAGTGGTTAGTAGGACTCCACGCTTTCACTGCTGAGGGCCTGGGTTTAATCCCTGCTTGGGGAACTAAGATCCCGCAAAGCCATACAGCCAAAAAAGAAAGAAGAAATCAGAGAAGAGGAAATCTAAATGTATAAAAAGGAAATCTGAAGAGATAAAATTATCAATCTACCTAGTATTCAGAGAAATGCAGAATAAACAAAGAGATACCACTTTACATCTACCAGACTATCAGGATTTAGGAATTAGGTGTTAGATGATACCAAATGTTGGTGAGGATGTGGGAAACAGGAGGTAACTATCCAGGGCAACAGTTCAAAAGAGAGATCTGGCCACATCGAGTAAAAACAATAATGTATGGGACTTCCCTGGTGGTCCTGTGGCTTAGAATCCACACTCCTAATGCAGGGGGCCCTGGTTTCAATCCCTGATCCAGGAACCAGATCTCGCATGCTGCAACTAAGACCCAGCACAACCAAATAACTAAATAAATAAATATTTTAAAAAAATCAATCATATATAGACAGCCAACAACAGAGCAATCTCACTCCTGGGCATCTAATCCAGAGAAAACTTCTCACAAGTCCTCAAGGAGAATGGATGAAGGATGTCCACTACAGTCAACCAGGCTACCCAAAAAAGCTGGCAGCAAAACACACGAACAGACCCATATCTATACATGAAATACAGCAAAGGTGGTTCTACAGAGCAAGAGGAAAAGAAGTCTCTTCAAGTGGTGGCATAAATGTATACCCACATGGAAAAATATGAAATTGAGTCCCTACTTCAAAATACACAAAAATCAACTAGGTGTATTATAAATGGGAATAGAATAACAAGCTTGTAGATTATATGGAAAAATATCTTTGTAACCTCAAAAAAGGAAAAGATTTAAGACATTTAAAAGCACTAATTATAAAGAAAAGGATTATTCTGTCTACATTAAAATTAAAAAAACTTCTGCTACTCAGGCCTGCGTAAACAGAGGGTGAAGACAAGTCATGGAATGGAACAAGGTACAGACAGTATTCAATCAATAAAGAATATGTGTCCACAACACAGAGAATCCCTACAAGTTGCAAGAAAAAAACCATAACCAATTAGACTTAAACTGGCACTGCCTAAAAGAGGAAATCCCAAAGGATGCTGAAAGCGTTCTCCATCTCATTAGTAATTACATCCTTAATCACCATATCAAAACCAAAATGAGATATCTTAATACATGAAGTCCAACAACAGTAACTGTTGATGAGGGTTTGCAGCAGGGAGAACTCTGGTAGGTCTGGTGGGAATATACAATGGTACAATCACTTTGGCATTCCTGGTATAGCTCAAAATACACATATCCTAAGACTTGGCAATTCTATTCCCAGGAATATACTCTAGGAAAACTCACACACATGTTGACCCATATACAAAATAAGAACGGTCACAGGAGCTTTGTTCCTATTATCCCAAACTGAAGACAATCCAAATACCCATCTACAGGAAAATTGATAAGAAATTAATAAATTATGGTACAGTCCTGTTACAGAACTCCATACATCAAGGAAAAGGAACAAACAGCTCCAAGGACAACATGGATGATTCTACAAACATAACACTAGGCAAAAAAAGCCAGACATGCAAAAATAGATACTTCGTGATGCTGTTTATATAAAGTAATGTTTACACATGACTAAATAAGTAGTAAGAAAAGCAAAAGAAGGAGATTGATCTCCCCTGGAGGGGAGAAAGAGAGATGATGGGAAGAGTTTCAGAGGCTGCTGGGGGAGTTAGCAACATCTATCTTTTGACATAGGTGGCTTTTACAAGGGTATTAGCTTCATATTTTTTTCCCTGTACAGTACATTATGTTTTAGATACTTTTGTATGCATTTTATAGTTCAGATCTTTTAAAAACAATTAGAATAAAAAGAAGGGGAGAAATCTGGGAGTTTATCACTCAGGGAATGTATAGATAGATAAATGTGGTTACTGCACATAAGAGAATATAATGCAAGAGTAAAGATAATAATTTTATTTACAATTATAGAAGCATGTTCAAGTTTCCAAACAAAAAGAGAAAAGAGGTTTACAGCACAATGCTATATATGAATGCAAAGTTTTAAAAATACAAATATGAAACAACGTGTATTTTTGAAGAATATACAGATGTACAAATAAAATCATGGAAGGGGAATCAGAAAGGCACATATACATACAAAACACATCTAACACACTACAATTGGCAGCAGGAGTCCACAAACTTTTTCTTATGAGGCCAGATAATAAATATATTGGGTTTTGCAGGCCATTAGATGTTATGGCCTACTCAACTCTACCATTACAACTCAAAAGCCACCACAAATAAGGAAACCAACGGGCACAGGTGTGTTCAAACTAAACTATATGGAACCACAGGGAGCAGGCCTGGGCTGTAGTTGGCCAAGCCCTGGAAAAGAGGAATGGGTTAAGAAAAGGGAATAACGGGGAGAAGGGGGAATCTAATAAAATGAGAGGCTTTGCATGGGCCAATGACAGAGGGGTCCCTGAAGTATTTTCAACTCAATTCTGGGGAAATAAATCCCATAACAGCTAAGAGGCAATCAAAGAAAGAAAGAAACAAGATGTTACCTTTTTGTTGTTTTGATTTTCTTCCACACTTACCTCCTTGCTGTCTGTCACAGGAACCCACTTAAATATCCTAAGGGACGTGTCACCCACAGTCACCCACTTCTTCTCCCTAAAACAAAGACACTTCTCAGAACTGATAAAATAAAACAGATTTTCTGATAAGAACTTGTGCTTTTCTACTTCTCACCAGATGTCTTCAATCTTAAATGCCTCATAAACTTTCTGTCCAATCATACTTTACTTTTCAAGGCAAAATCACCCTTTCCAGAAACACTTCGCTATCGAATTCCTTTAACAGTGAACCTTCCACCTGTCACCTCTGCTCACATGGTGTACCAAAACCATTTTTTCCCTCACAGACTACAGTAGTATGGAGTATGAGCACAAACTCAAACTCAGGTATCCATCTCGCATAACTTCTTCATCTCCCCAAAATTAACTCAATCCCACTGATATTTTATAAAGTCCTATTATACAAAGCCTTACAGGTGATAAAGGATATATAAGATAGCGTCCCTATCTTGGGAACTCATAGCACTGAAAAGATAAGTAAAGAAATCATTGTAATATGTGAAGGTGGCAAGAAAGAAGGCTGAAAGACCAGGATATTCCATGGAAGGCAAAACTCCTGTGAAACTCTGGGTGCATTAGTCGCTCAGTCATGTCCAACTCTTTGTGACCCCATGGACTGTAGCCCACCAGGCTCCTCATGGGATTCTCCAGGCAAGAATACTGGAGTGGGTTGCCATTTCCTTCTCCAGGGGAATCTTCCCGACCCAGGGATCAAACTTGTGTCTCCCGCATTGCAGGCAGACTCTTTATCATCTGAGCCACCAGGGAAACTCTGGGTTGAAACACAATTCCAATAACCAAGGAGCAGGACATGATGCCTTCAGCTAACAGAACTGAGCCTCACACTGGCTTTTGGAAAAGGTGAAGGCCAAGTGCCATGGAAATATGGCTTTAAGGTTTCATTTTACATAAGAGATACTTTTGAGATAGGCCTTAAAAAAAAACGGGTAGCTGTTCTCCCCTCCCCAAACATACCTGGGGAGGGAAAAGCAAGTAACATTCTTAAATAAGGGGCAGATTATGGACAGCCAGAGTTGGGGAGCCTGAAGTGTGACTTCTGAAAGTTTCGAGTCCCAATGTGAGCACAAAAAAGCAAAAAAAGTAACTGCTGTTATTGATGATGCTATTCAGCAAATGACATCACAAAAATATAAAGACTGTGATGTAACATAAAAAAGAATGAACTAAAGACTTAGAAACTAGAATTAATTCCTGGACAAGCCACTCATTTATTCAACAAGTACTTAACTTACAAGACCCTATGCTAGGTCCTGAGCACACAGGGCACAAGATGCACAGTCCTGACGCCCCCGAGCCTGAATTCCAACTGAAAACAGACACCACGCAACTCATTTCAGTTAGAAACCTGATCATTAGATTCAACCACATCAAACTGACATTTCTGCAGATAAAAAAGGCAAATACAGATGTCTTATAGTTCAACCTAATGCCACTGTGGAAAGTTCCATATAGGAGAGGACCCGATTTAGACTGGGGCTCTTGAAAGGTTTTGGTGAGGAAGCAACTGCAGAGCAGAGCCAGGCACTAACTAGGCAAGTGGAAGGAGCGGGGAGAGGAAGGAAAGGTAGTGTGGCCCCAACTGAAAGATGGCCAGCATCTTGCGAAAGAGGGCAGTTTGAGCCAGTCTAGTGAGGTATGAAGAATCATTTTTGGTCTTTATCCTACGGACAAGAAGAGATCAATGAAGCATTATTTCCTAAGCAAAAGAGTGCTAAAAAAAATTCACACTTGAGAAAAATACAAAGCAATGAATGGACCAGGGAACTGAGCCAGTCCTGAAGCAGGCAGACAGATCACAGGAAGCCCGGTACAGAGTTCCAGGTGAGACAGAGTTCCAGGTGACAGAAGATACTCAACTGCCCCAGACTACAGGTAAGAACAGAGATGGCCAGAAGAGGAAGGGATGCCCAGTCCTAGGTTTCACAAAACCTAAAGCATTAGATTCGGAGGAGGAAAATCATTAACTATTTAACCTAGTATTTGTAAGTCCCTAGAGATGAGGAACTTGGTCATGTAGCAAAATGGACAAATAAACATGCAAATAAAGTCCAAGGTAATGATGACCTTCAGTTTTCCAGGTGGCTCAGTGGTAAAGACCTCACCTGCCAAAGCAGGAGACGCGGGTTTGATCCCTGGGTTGGGAAGATACCCTGGATAAGGAAACGGCAACCCACTCCAGTATTCTTGCCTGGAAAAACCCATGGACAGAGGAGCCTGGCGGGCTATATGGCGTCGCAAAGAGTAGGACATTACTTAGCGACTTAACAGTGACTCTAAAGGGAGTGGAGGGTGAGGGGCAGGAGGTCTTGGAGAAGGCTTCCTGGAGGGAGCTAACACCTACCCGGCTTTAAAGTTACTAGTAAAGTAAAAGTTATCGGTAGCAATCAGCTAGAGGAAAGTACTCAAGAAGTTGGCGCAAACACCTGGCTGTGAAAACTTAAGGTGATAACGGACTGGAACTCTTGGTACAAAATAGGCGGTCAACCTGCGCCTGCAATGAACATGACAGGAGCCGTTTCCAAACAAGGCGGAGATCCTGACTCTTCTACTAACAGCTCCCAGGTCACCAAGAGAAAATGCCTACCCAGTTCGCGCGCGTGAGCCCATATTAGGAGAAAGACAGGAATTTTTATTCTAACGATTCCCCGGTCCCGTGGCAGGTAGCTTGACGAAAAGTTCTCACCTAACCCAGACGCCTTAATACGCAGAGTGCTCAGTCTGGCTAACGGGAACCCCTCAGAGATTGTTAGTTAGTATACGGGACAGTTCAGAACGCAAAAGGTTCCTCACGCAGGCGGGCGCGGAGACTAGGCCCGCGCCTACCCACGGCTGAACAAACGCCTCAGACCCGGCGCCGCCGGAAGCCGGCAGCTCCCCGCCGGCAGCTCCCCGCCGGCGCCGCGCTGCCGGGGGCAGGAGCAGGTGGGCGGGCCTGCGGGCCGGGCAGCCCTCTGATTGGTCGCGACCGGCGCGCCCTCTGACCTCACGCCGACACGAGCGGCTCCCTCCTCCCGCCTTCTCCGCTCCCCCCTCCCCCCAAGCGCCTGCCGGTCGGCTCCCACCCCGCCCGCCAGTTCGCCGCTGCTCTGGACCTGGGCCGGCGGCCCTCCCCGCCAGCACCCTTGGGCCTGGCCCCTCACCATTTCCGCACTTTCTCAATGGCCGCCATCACCTTCTTGATGTCATCCTTGGCCCGGCTGCGGGTCTCGGCCCGGACCGACCGGCCCGACATGGCGGCGGCGGGAACGGCGGGGGCCGGGGCACTGCTCCCAAGACACGAGAATCGCGCGCCTCACGCGCCGCCGCCCGCCCGGCGCAGTAGCGTCACCGCGGCCGTCGCCCCCTCCGTGCGCGCGTGCGCGAGAAGTGCGCGCACCCGCCCTCCCCTTGGGGCTCGAGGCACCAGCGCGCCTGCGCGCTCCGCCCCAGGTGCCCCACCCCTGGCGTCCCACCCAACAGGCCCCACCCTGGGCATCCCAGAGTACACTGGGCTCCCAAGCGGCCCAGGGTCTGCGGGCAAGCTGGCAGCACATGTTGTGTGCAGGGTGAGGTGCGAGGCGCTGCCAGTGGGGTCTCTGGCTCTTGCCTAGGGCAACATCTTAAATCTCTGGTCAGGGCTGCAGCCATAATCTATATTTTATGGACTTGACACCAATGTTACTGAGGTTCTACACTATCCTGTACTGCTTTCTCTCCTGTTGGGGCCCTCGCTCCCCAGATACACCACTGTGCTCCAACTATAGAGAATTTCACACCTTCAATATGCCTTCCAACGTTTGCACACATCTGTTCTCACCTGGAATTCTCTTAGCTCTTCTTGATGACCACTTACTCTTCCAACATTCAGTTAGAATTCCAACAAGACTTCCCCCTGAGATCCTGAGGTGCCACTTTGTCCATACTTGATACTACATCAATGTCTCATTTAATTCAATAATCGTTGATTAAATGATGCCTGCGCTGTGCAAGTTGGCATGCAAAGTGCTGAGGACAAAATTGGGTTTTGCTTTCAAAGAGCTTCCAGGTTAGCAGAACATACAGACCAGAAAACAAGCATTTCAAATGCCATTTTATAAACGCTAGGTTAAAGGGAAGTACTGTACAAGATGCTATGACAACCCTAATCTAGATGAAGGGTGTCCAGAGGAATCTGGGGGAAAAAATGACCTTTAAGTTGAATTTTGAGAATACAGTAGATGCAATTGCTCTAAGTCCTCACTGTGTCCACAGACACCGTAGATGCTCAGTAGATGTTTGGGTGAATACTCAGTCTTCACTGCAGCTCCCTGTCTTCTCCTGTCACCCCAGGCATTTATTCATGCTCGCGGTATGCAGAGAGGGCCCTGAAGCAACCGCTTTGAGAAACAAAAGAAAGCAGGTGACAGTTTGCATTGCTTGATAGCAGCTATTTCTTTTCACCTCTAGAGAAACTTCCTTCTGTGTACCCAGAGAACTATCTCACTAACTAACCCTGAACTTGACATAGCCTCTGACTATGACTGTTCCCTATTCTGTAATCCACCAATATCATGGCTCGATAACCACAAATCACCTTGCTGATGAGGAGCCCAGGAATAGTATCTGCCCGCCTGAGGAGTGAAAGAGCTGAACTAGCATGTGGAGGGAAGGATGAGTCTACTAATAGTGAGATCAAAGGTGGCACATGTTTCTCAAAGCCATTGATTCAAAATAACTGAACCGAAGAGCTAGCTTGAGTATCTGCTACATGCCCTATAGTGGTGGACACTGGGTGATGCAAAGATGAGTAAAACACACTCCCTGCCCTTTAGGTGAGGATAAGGAAAGCAACAGGAAAAGAAAATTCAAAGGCAGAGCTTGCTAAGTGTTGTGACAGAGGCCAGCTCTCTGGAATTCTCTAGTATTCTTCTTAGGGCCCCCTGGTCTAGGCACACAGCACCCGGCAGTTATGATTCTGTTCTCTCTCAATCTGTCCAAGTCCTGGCCAGCTCCCCCCCTGAGGTTTCTTATCTATAGCTTCCCTGCTCCACAGCCCACTGCTCCTCCCAGCAGTGTTAGCCTCCTGCGCCCCGCTCTCCTCCAACCCACCCTGCCAGTCACCACCTTCCTCGGGCCTTCCCTGCTCTGAAGACCCAGTGATCCTCCTGATTCCCGCTCACGTTTGTCCACCTGACCCTACATTCCCCACCTACCTCCTATTGATGCTTTATGTAAGAGTGGTCAAAATGAGCAACTGCCAACTATTCCCCGAAGCCTGCACAAATGCCCTCTGATGACATACTTCTCTTTAAAAAAAGTCTCCCCTTGGGACTTCCCTGGCAGTCCAGTGGTTAAGACTGAGTTTCCAATGCAGGGGGTGTGGGTCCAATCACTGGTTGGGGAACTAAGATCCCACATGCCATGTGGAGTGACCATTAAAAAAAAAAAAAACAAAAATTCTGATACATACCTGGCTGAACGTCCAGGAACTCACAATAAAATACTGTTTTTCATGTCTGATGTGTTGAGAAGAGTTTAGCTTAGTGAACTTGAAATTGCAGGGAAAAGATGAAGTGTGGTCAACAGAATGGTTAACAGTGTCAGATGTGGGCAAGATGACTCCTCCAGAGGGACCCATCCTGGCCCTGCCCTGCCATGCCCCTCCCCACGAGGCACAGTTGCAAGACCAGGGAGATGTGACCACCTGGTGCAAGCGGTCACCATCCCATCCACCAGACACTGGACTCCCTGTCCAAACAGACATAAGCCTGCTTCAAGGGCTTGTACGAGCCTCTCCCCTGGGTCCATCCTCACAGAGGTGGCACTGCCCTGGCGCACAGCCTGAGGCCTGAGTGGTTGGTGGCCAAGGGGTGGGCGTTTGTCTCACAGGGATATAACAGCATATGAGGTGTCGGCTGGGGTGTCCCTTGCAGTGTGGAAAAGAACCCGGTGGGCAAAGGAGAGCAGCCTTGATCATGGGCTGGTCACCTTTGACAACACACTGTGGCACAGACCTGAGTGAGGATTCTAAATTTGAACACGGCCTTCCAGGACGCTGTATCACGGGAGGACAGCACATACTGGAGCGCACCTTAATTTATTACGGATAGTAAGACTTGCACAGCATGTGGGTCTCCATCTGTATTCCTGTCTCTGGCTTTACACATGTTGGTTAAAGGAATGTATTTATTGTGAGTTCCTAGATAGGCCTAAACTCAAAGGTCTGGGCAAGCCTTTTATTGGTTATGTGTGTTGGGCAATTAGACTCCCTAATAATATTGATGTCAAGGCTCTCTCAGTTGCAAGAGTATTCCAATTCAAATTGACAGTCATACACAGGACTTTCTTGGCTCTTAGTAACTTGGTTGTCCAGCGGTGGCAACCTCAGGTGTCTGGATCCAGCAGCTGAAACAAGAAGCATCCTCAGCCTGCGGTCTCTTTGGCTGCTTTCCTGTGTTGGCTTCATTCTTGGGCAGGACTACACAGTTAACAACTTTACATTCTACTTATTAAGCAATTCTAGCAGAAAATTAAACATATTTTCAGTTTTTTCTAAACTCCAGCAAAGTCCAGGAGTCTGCTGATTGGTTATATGCCTACCATTCTTGCCTGGAGAATTCCATGGACAGAGGAGCCTGGTGTGCTGCAGTCCATGGGGTTGCAAAGAGTTGGACATGACTGAGTAACTAACACTTTCACCTTTCATGGAGGGTCAAGGCTTATCCTCTATAAATTGTACAGATAAAGATTTGGGGAGGTGGTAGTTCACCAGATAAACACTAAGATGGGGTTGTTTCCTGAGGCAGAAACAATAGTGAGATGGTAGGGATTCAAGGCTTAGCACTCAATGTGAGCCACTATCAAAGTGAACAAGAAAATGCAAATACACTTAGACTGGGTATGTCTATTGAATAGAAAGCAACTGGAGATCACACTCATTTTCCTACTGCCCTGAACTCTGGGATCAGAATTGGAAGCTTGAAGAAATAAAGCTTCATACAGTCACAGTCTCACAAGGTGTTCCTAGGTCTGTGTTTATGAATTATGCTTTCAGTTTCTGTGGCTGATTCTGCAGTGCCAACCTGTGTCATCAGTGGGCCTCAGTTTCAAGAGCTGTGTGCTGAAATCAAGTCATGCTCACCTGGAAGACTCATATTTCTGGAATTTTGTAGAGAACATGAATCCCAAATTATTAAATTTCTAGACACGTGGCCAATTTGGGGCACTGTTGGGTCTATGATATCACATATCATCACTGATAATTCATCACAACAGTAGGTGTTTCCTACTTACCTGCTATAATCTCCAATTATAGAACATCTTTTAAAGATAAGTCTTATTACCTTAATTGAAATTGATGAAGACTATCAACAGACCTTCAGATGTGCACTTTTGTGCTTTAAGTATTTTTATTTTTAATGACTGATAAAAATAATCTATACACCATTTTTTAATTTCCCCAAATTGTTATTCTGAAAACTTGCAAACCCACAGAAATTGAAATAGTAATATTAAAGTATTAACACTGCCTTCACACACAAGGATTTTTTATCAAAAAAACATAGTGGCCTCTGGGCTACATGAATATGCAGGTAACTTTCGCCATGCTGACAAGGGAAGCAGTCTCATCTTTAGTGAGAGGAGCTGTTTTCTGTCCCCGGGACATCTATGTAATGACTCTTCTAGTGTTTTCATTCATTTTAATAGAAATTCATAACCCTGGCAAGGCACGCAGGGCTGGATTTATTCCCATTTTACAGATGAGGAAACAAACTCAGAGAAGTGAAGTGATGTGTCTGTTCAATAAGTGCCCCAGCCGAAACTGGAACCAAAGACTTCTGACTTCAGTAACTCAACTTTCTGTGATCACTGCCCCTCCTGGATAAGCAATGAGAGTAAAGCCAGA